TGACGACGACGATGATGATGATGATGAGGAAGAGGAGGAGCATCCACTCAAGTCACTGCGACGCATTTCTAAGATTCCCAGTTCGAGGGATTTGAGAATGATTGACAGCATGCCTTTTAAAAGATCTCCAATTAAAAAGAAAAAGACTCCACCAAAAGTCCCTATTAGAACCAGTTCAATACCTGGAAACAAAGCAGCGCAGGCAGAACAGCGCCTCTCGAAGGACGAAGATGCAATGCGCCTGACGCCTTCTCCCAATATTGTGCCATCTCTTTTGGTGAAGGAAAGCGCTTCAGAGTCTGAAGAGGAGTTTTACGATGCGAAGGAGAGGTTCACGCCCCCAGTGCCAGATCTTTCAGGTTTGTTTATCTATTTGATTAAAAAGAAATATATTTGAGTATTATGTTTATCAATGTCTTTTGTCAAATTTGTAAATATTCTTAAATGCTCACTATTTTAAAATATTATTTGAGTCTTTATCCAGGGGTTTCAGAAAAATTCATACCATTTCCATAACAATTAACAATTAAATACTATATTATATGTTTTGAATCAGGGAAGAAAGTCCTCAAAAGTGACATATAACAGGATGCTGAATTAATGCATTTCTTTCTATTTCTTCTATTCTTTATTTAATTTAATTATTTTTATATTTTAAAAGAACCCAACTGTGTCATAAAGTTAAACATACAAGAAATTAATGAAAAGAAGCAGCAAGGAGAGTAATCTTATGTTATCTGCCCTTTTTTCTAGATAAAGAATTTGCTGATCGATGCAATGCTAATCGCTTGAGTGGTAGTTGGAACAGTTTCACTGCATCATCTGGAAAAGCTCCGCCCTCTCCCCTCGCTAGTAAATCCTCCAATGTCAAGAAGGAAGTGGACATGCCTAAAACTCAAGTAGATCAACAACTTAACAAAGCGCAGCCAAGTTCCCCAAAGCCATCTCCGAAATCTGAAGTTAAGGTAAAACCACCAGTGGCCCCTAAGCCTCAGCTGCCTCCCAAGCCTAAAATCAACCCTCCAAAATCACCCCAAAAGGGACAGTCGTACGCCCACTGTAATGGGGATGCCTCTGGACGCCTCTCCTCAGATCTGCTGGAGATGGAGCCAGAAACAATGGAGTTTAAGTCAGTCACCTCTGGAGCAGGGGGGCTGCCTCTCTCCTCACCGCTGATCACCGCTGTCCGCTACAGACAGCAACCACTCCCCAGCACAGCTCTGCAAACCGAGGAGAAGAGGCTGCAAAATGGACTGAAGCCAACTAAAGAGATCCCACATGAAAATGGAGTTTCTAAAGACAAATATATTATAGATAGAAATGGTGATGTAGAGGTAAAGAGCAATGGGATAGCCACATCTGTTAAAAGCCAACCTTCAATGCCACGCTCAAATTCAGGTACAAAATTAGCTCCTCCTCCAGTACCCCCAAAACCTGTTGGTCCTATAAACCTCATCCCCTTATCCTTGCCTGCCAGTTCTCCTGTGTCTCCAACTGACCCTAACAAAAGTATATTTAATCCTCCAAATGGAATCTACCCTTGGAGCAGTCGCAATGGCACAATCCAATCCGGACCTAAAAGGGTGTCTCTAAGCCACGAGAGCCTTTCACCCAAAAACTCAGAGGCACCACTCACCCTCACTACCTCCCTCACCTCCACCACCTCTGCAGGCAGTGGGGGGCTTGAGAGCAGAGAGCCAGGAAGGTCTGGCTCCGGGTCAGATCTGCGCACCAGCTCAACCAGCCTGGGGGGGAGACTTCCAGCTTCGGCTCTTAGAGGAAAGATACAAGCCCTACCGTGGTACATGACGCGCTCACAAGAAATCTTAGGGACCCTCGATTACCCATCAACCAGCTCCATCAATGGCGACACTTCAGGATTTGGTTCTGGGCTGTCTGTCGCTAGCGGACTATCAGATCTGAACAAGACACCTGTGAAGGAAAAGGACGGTTGTATTGCCTCAAAATTAGAAAAGAAGGGAGAGTTTCTAGAAGATGGGGCGCAGGTCGTTATAGCCACTTTCAAAGAAGCGCAGGAAGTAACGTCTCATATGAACAAGACCAATGGGATAAATGGGTCGTACCCAAACCTGAACAGTATCTACAGCGGCTTTGTGTCTTCGGAGCAGCCACAGTCTCGTCCCAACTCGGCGGTGGGGCTTCGAGGGGTTATGAACATGCACGAAGGAGGAGATTCACCCACTTCCTCATTAGCAGACAGTACTCCTCCACAGCAGCACAAAGACGCGTGTGGGTGTCGGACTGTTTATGCTAACTGCTTTAGCGGAGACAGTGAGGATGGGGTCAGCTTTGACGAGGAGATGACTGTTTTTGAATTCTCCCGCCGGACGAAACCTAAAACGACCAGCCCTGTGCCTCCACCTGCTCCTCCGACTTCATCTTCAAACTCTAATCTCATTTCACTGCTGAGGGACAATCCCAGACCACTCTCTACCTTCTCCACTGCATCGTCTGACTTTAGCCCCCTTGTCTCTTGTCCAGTCTCCCCCACTACATCACTAGGAAATCCTCTCCGATCTTTCACTAATAAAAACTATGGTGGGCTCAAGGGTGGTTTCGCTACTTTACGACAAGATATTGACCAACTCCTGCTGGTGTTGGAACAAGGCGTACTTGAACAAGAAATATTAAACCATGAATCGGATCAAAAGGGTCTGAAAGATGAGCCAGATCTAAACCATAATGGGACTAATAACACAACTCGCGGTGTCTATTGTAGCAGGAAAAGCCAAATTTCAATGAGTGAAGTTGAGAGGACTCTTCTTCAGACAGAGGCCAGGCGATTGGCGTCTGGATGTCAGCGAGCCACACGTGTTGGCTGGGCCCCAGACGAAGCACTACGTTCCCTGTCTAATAGTTTCAGTGCGCTGGTCCAGTTATCCGCAGCCTGTTTGCGAACAAAACCATGTAGTCGCTGTGAAGTGTGCCAGAGTGTGAGTGGGAAGTATAAAGATGCTGCAGAGGACAGCCAGGAGCCTATGGACAAGTTAAAAGAGATACTAGGACTGTATCGAGAGTTTGTGGGGGCAGTTGAGAGCGCAGGGACAGGGGCAGGACTGAAAAACCAGGGAGAGACTGATGGTGTCCGCCTACTGGCCAAAAAGTGTACTGTACTTATCTCCTCTGTGTTTGCTTTGACACAGTTGTTCCGTACACAATCTTTAGAGACTTCAGACCCTCCAAGTCAAATGTCTAACCATGCAGCTAGCCACACGCCTGGTCCGGTACCTCTCAAATTCTAACTTTACCCTGTCCTATTTATATTTTTTTGACTTTGGGCCTATACAAGAGCCAGACACAGTTATACCCTCCTGTATTCTTATTGCATAGTGCCAAGTTACCAGCCACAATTCAGCATACAAAAACTTGAATAAAACAAACTGAATACTACAGCCACAAACCAACCGCAAAATGAGGAATTCCTATTCACTTGGCCTCTTCCTGGACGCATATGGACTATGCATCTGTACATACGGATTTTATAATCTTATTTTATGATATAGTATGTGTATGTAAGAATGAATTACCTGTGTATGTATTTATGTATTTATTTTTTACAATGTTTGCACCATGGTCTGTGGTGTTTCTGGTGAAAAAATAACACTATGGATGTCACTGGAGAATCTTTTTTTCTTAACTACAGTATTATGTTACTTTTGCTGCTTAACAAATTTTCACTCCACAAGGTGTAATCTGTAAATTGTCGTTTTCGAAGTATAATTTACAGACAAGTTTTACAAATAATCTTGGTCCTAATTGCAAAAAAGCAGTTCTGGATTTCTTTTGTATGTGACTGCACCTTTATATAGATTTAGTTGTTTACAGTTACTCATTTTAATGGGCTACATTACAAAGCAGGGAGAGCACTTTTGACTGTTACAGATTGCACCTTTTTGTCCTTTCGTGAAGTGTTTTTACCCATAATTCCCTTATTCCCATAGTTCCATTATCCAAATGTATGCAGTATTATAATGTTATTCTAGTTTTTCCATGAGATATTTATTTCCTAGTGAGTGAGTTGGGTCCAAGAAGTAAAAAGGGGATTAATTTAGCGTAGTTTAAGGTTTTGTCTTGACACCAGTGTGACTGTTAAACTTAAAATGTAGCAAGGATCCAAAGTCTTAAACTGTTCTAACACTGAGCCACTAATGTCCCCCGATGGTCTATTCTCTGGACACCACACAATAACAATAACATTGACTGACTGCTGTAGATATTAACATGAATATCTATGTGTTTCTGTCTTTAGTTTATGGCTATGCAAATCAAACCCACTCCTCCACGTATTGTACACTTGTTTTATTGTGCAAACATTTAAAACAACAGTAGCTGCATTATGTTTATATAAATATAATGGGTGCTTTCTTTGTTTAGAATGTTTAACTTTGATCTGATTTGGAAAAAAAAAAAGAGAAAAGAAATAAAGGCAACATTCTGCATTGTTGCATGGCATTAGCATAAAATATACTGTCAATGTGAAAACCCTATCTGTACTGGTGTCTGGGATTATTACATTGTTTGCTAATGTATATTACTCACTAATTAGCAGCTGACCATATCACATAATGCCTGCTCATCTGGTTGACTGGAGGATTTATTGAGATGCTGACCAAAATTAATTAGAAAACAACAACAGCTCTTACGTAATGACTTTAGAGACTGTAGTTTGTTCAAAGTACAGCTAATGGGGAGATTGCAGCCAGCTAAATTTTCTAAATGTCCTAACAAGATGACACAAGATTTTGTTGAAGTAATCATGTTTGGGGAAAAGATGCCTTGTCATTGCTATAACAAGAAGCTGACTCTATTGTAACACTTTTGAACCCCCAGGAGCCTCTTCTGTTTGTGTCAGGCTATTAAACAATGGAGACGCCTGAGTCATGTTTTAATCTTTGTACATCTGTGAGCATTGGTCAAACCATCACAAATGCATTTCATTATGAAAGGGACATTGTGTGTTACATGTGGTCACTTTCCCATACCCACTTACAATAAACTAAATATACCAAGAAATGAATTGTTGGTGTATACTGATTAGACTGTGTATGGATGCTGGGATTTTTGCATTAGGTTTAAACACATGGTACAGTACCCACTAACAGGTTATAGACATTTGTACTGATACTTGCCATCAACATTTCCTGAGAGTGTGAAGCTCTGTTAGACTTAAATCTGAGTTTTGTTTTAACACAGTCCGACCCTAAAGAATTGCTTTAGCTAAAACTACAAAGGTGAGATGATTTGTGCTTTTTAACAAGTCTCTTACACACATAACTACAGTCACAAACTAGCTAGTATTAGCCAACAGATTTTTTCAATTAGTCTCTCACCTATTTTGTTGAAAATCAAACACCTATACAGAATCACGAATGCTTGTATTGATCACAGGCTCCTGAAATATGTTTAAATATATTTTGTAGTTTTCAGACTGTCTTAAAACTTTTTTTTTGACAGTGTTTGCTTATGTGTGCTTTGTGTCATCATGGCATCAGTTGAACATTCTATCATACCACCTAGAACACCCACAGCATGATGTCTGCTAAGTACAAATTTAACTCATAGCCTTTCTTAAGTAGAAAAGGCATATTATGGTTAATATGTTTTATGATCTACAGGGTTATTTTATAATGTATAGGATGCTGGTAAAATATGATTACATAGACACCAAGCTCTAAGGCGTTGTAAAGCAGCAGTTTCAGCTCTGATCTAGTCCTCATGTGGAGCTGCCCTTAATCTGATCATTATCTGCGACATCTTCACAGTAATCTGCAAAGTCACATCCACAGTTCAAAACATGTTGACGCTTTCTTTGTGGTTCTAATTTCAAGGCAGATGATACAAGGTTAACATAAATCAAATATTGTCATTGTTTTTATTCTCTACTCTGAGCCTTCTGTTCGTCTCAGCTACAACCATCACGTTATAATAGCATGTTTTGTAAAATAATCAAAGAATTCACTTATACATCTATTTTGGAACTGGTTAAAAATATGTTGGTGCATTTTTATTTTATATTAGAGACTTAAGATGTTATGAATCATAACAGTTTTGCCACTTCCTGATTGCATACAATTTGTTTAATAAGTTCCTCAATATGAGCAAGTGAGCTTTTCTTTTATTATTTCACATAAAATTGCCAGTGTAATATGATAGAAGTAGTATATATCATGAAATGAGTCAGTGGTTTTCCCTGAATGTTGTGTTATCTGCTGACAAACCAGCACAGACACCATTGTCAACATTACAATGTTTACTGACTTTGTGCTTCAGGGAAATTACAAAGATCATTTAATGCCATCAACACTGTCCCAAATCCACAACTGAAATACCATACCAATGTATATAAAATGTAAAACCCTGGAAAGCTCAGAAAGACAAAATTGTACAAGGCCAACCACATGACTGACAGCTTGACTTTGTATACCAATGGACATGATCCCGGCTCTCTCTGGCTGCTCCCTCAGTCAATGGGAGATTGGTCTGAGAAACAATCTCCTACAAGAGCACTGTATCTACTCAAGCTCGAAATCTGAGCCCATTATGCCAACAGATGTTACAGGCAGGAAGGCGAGCGTGTGTGAGGAAAGCTGTAAACTCATCAGCTCAATACGATTCATGTGTGATATAAAGATTCAAAGAGCATGCTAGTTATTTTTGAATGATGATCTTAACATATGAAAGCAGACAAATTTTCAGTATTTTACTGTAATTTACATCAGTGTGCACTTGTCAGATTTTGTAGGAAATACCCAAAAGCAAGTTAGAAAAGTCATGAAAAACAGTTCATCGCTGCTTTGATAAAAAAAAAAAAAAAATCTTATAATAAGATGGCAGCATAAAGCAGGAAATAAATTGTCCAACATTTGGTTTTTTGTCTATTTTACACATCAATGGCCAAATCCACAAATGTATGACAAAACAAAAAGGACAAACAAATAGATTTTTTACATGAATTTGGGCACATACTTGTGATAATGTTTTCAACAAAAACACTTTAACTACTCAATAGGCCTCAACTTAGACTTTTGAAAAAGGTGCTGCCCCAAATACTGGACATAGAGGAAAAGGGGCGTGTCGCTTGGACCCTGGCACATACTTCATATAGGCTTTATATATTATGACTACAGTAAAAAGTCACAATCACATTGGCCCCCATCACACGTGCAACTCCACGGCTGTTTTTAAAATATTTTCAATCACTTAGTGCATTAGCATGACTTTTTGCACAATAAACTCTTATAAGCTTATCCCTTTAAATAATGACTTTTTTTCTATAGGCTTTTTCCTTAGTTGACTTATTTGTATCTCTTTCACAGGAGTTTTAACAGGAACTCGTAGGTAGCATTTATGATGCCCCACGATATCAATGATCGGTAATAGTTTAACTGGGCACCTCTGAACAGCATTAGTAAGCTGCCTCCCCTCTCTCTCCACACAGTCAAGAACACCTTGCTGCAGGACTGAAATTCTCCACCAACCTGAGACTGAGCCCGGGCTTTAACAACATTTAGAGGATAAAACATAATGCCCAAGCCAGCCCCCAATAATCCTCCACACACAAAATCAGTGATGAGGTGTCCTGCTTGACTAGTGGCTTCAGGGAGCTGCTCCTTTATGGGGCCACGGAAGCCAAAGAAAAGCACATTGCTGGGACCATTGCGGAGGAGGATAGGTACCAGTCCACGGTAGCACTCTCTGATGCCGTACTCTGACAGAAGTGTCCTAAACGTGTGGGCAGTGTTGTTAAAGCGCCCGTGGTGACGGTGGTCTTGTAAGAGCGTCTGCACACGCTCAAAAGGTGTCAGAATGGCCTCAGTAGTTCCAGCTAAAGCAGCAGCAAAGCTTCTTGTGATGATCTCAGGCACTCCACTCCCACCAGCCAAGTCAAACAGGACTCTGGAGAAGTCCTGGTACAACCCAAACATGATGGCCACTGTAGTGCTCTTCTGGAGCAAAGGGGGCAGTAGACCGCGATACAGATTCCTCAGACCATCCCTCTGCAGCTGCTGCACAGCCTCAGTAGCAATCACACCATGCAACTGTTGTCGAAACAGTACCTTCTGGATTGGAAAAGTTACCAATATGTTGGTAAATGCAGCCAGCGACCCGCACACATAGTGCTTTCCTTGAGGTCCCAGTCTTGCAGAGAGTATCCCCTCCCGCAGCAGGCCACTGCCGCCTGTCGCCAGAGTGGCCTGAGGCTGAGGAGTCCGGGCTGACTCAGAGCCCATAGTGCGAACAGCCATGAATGGCTCAGTGCAACTCAGTGTACCTTGCCAGCCCCATTATGCACCTGGAAAAAGAGGAATAAAAACATAAAATTATAAAGAGGATTAACTTTAAACCAGCATAGTCTGAAAATGGCTGTACTGATGAAGTCAATCTTGGGCCACCTGCTTTAACCAGTCTTTCACTGATAAAAAGGTCTTACGCAATTAAACTGATAAGCAAGAGCTACAACGCTACTGAGGGACATTAGGTACAATAATGCATTTATGTATAAGATATTAAATTATTGTAAGCAGTCTTACTATATAAATTAAGTAAAGTTTTGTGTGGGTGTGGGTTTAAATTAAGCCAACTTTAAAGAATAAGGTTGGCCTATATTTAGGGAATTATCTAAATTTGAACTGAAGGGTTAAGTGGTGATTGAACCCTAAGGTTACTGGAGGTCACAGAACAGTCACCAAAATACACTGTATATGTTACACACCATGAAAAAGAGCTGACATCACACTAAACATGTTTATTATAGACAATTACTAACGCCCTTATTTTTACGCAGTTTCATTTTATCAAAATAGTATTACAAATATTAGAAGACTGTCCAAACAAGATTTTCCATGATCTGTTGACAGTTCACTGAACTATATTATCTAACGTGTCAGTGTCTTTTTTTTTTTTATTGTACAACCACAGAACAATTTACATTGTACTTAGATTGATTAAAGTAAACACTGTGAATTATTTGCGGGTCGCTAATGTGGGGAGCGAACAAAATATGCAATGTCATAATAAACTCATGTGGTTGTTTACTGAATGTTAATAACTGCACGCTACTACTGGTGCTAGTGCTGGAGTGGTTGTAGATTCCCATGGTTCCTGTATATTTTAATATTCAATTACCATACCATTTGCCAAAAGAATACACAAACAGAGGTCAACTTTGTTCATTGAAAATACACTTAATGTTGGAATCGGACAGGAATCGGGGGACAGCTTGCATTGGACAGGGATACAGTTAGCATGCTAACTGGCTAAAATCAAAACGGATGGGTGGAGACTGGAGCACAGAAAATGCACAGTGCAGTTTACACAGGTTGTGTGCTGTCAGATCGGTACTTGCCTGTCCCGGACCTATCGCTATCCTTTGCCTGTTTGCAGGTTTTGGGCACCCACAGTAGGTCGTGTCCAGTCTGCACCCAAAGCAGCAGCAGGTGACCCCTGCAACGCATCCTTTGCGCCTGCGCAATGCTGTAGGGCCATGAGGAGTAATGGGAGTGTTTCAAAAGGACATAGCTGTGCAGTATGCATGCTCTTACAAATCCCAGTATCAAAGACTGGGGTGACAACAAGTAAGCCACGCCGTTTATGCTGAAAACTCATAGCCACATCTGGAATATGTAGAGCTTTTTGCTCAAATAGCGAAAGGACGTAAACGTCAAACAAGCGACTCGACGTCATCAACCCGCGTTTGGAACGTCAGTAAATAAAGTGATCAAGCGTTCATACTTCAGTTTCGCTATAGTTTGCAGGTTTTATTTATTATTGTACATTGAATAGGCTTTTTGTTGGTTCTTGTTTCAACAGAACATTATAAACTTTGCATGCATTTTTTTTATTTTGTAGGCGCTACAGCTAGCGCCAGCGGCTCAAACGGTGCTAAATGTATTGTGCCTGGTGAATAGCGGCAGTTGGCAAAACATTTGTCCTGGAAAAAAAGAAATTTATGAGGAATTATTCTTCACCGACAATCAAAAACATTTGATCATGTCAGCGCAAAAGGACTGCGAGTTTCTAGTCAAAAGAGCTCGTGAATTGGTCTCAGATGATCCCTGTGCTGCCAAAGCCTGGCTCATCACAGCCAGGACCCTGTATCCAGCAGACTTCAACATACAGGTGACTGAACCTTAGCTCTATAAAAACACAAAGATGCTTGCAGTAAGTAAATAGTGTTGCCTTGAAAATTATTTACTGAAATAAATTCTTCCTTTCGTTTCAGTATGAAATGTACACAATTGAAAGAAATGCAGAGAAGACATCTTCTGCTGGAAGGTTACTGTATGATATGTAAGTGTTTCTTTATTCTTTATTTTCTTTTTTTGTTACTTAAAACATCAAATGTTTTACCCTGTAATGTAATGTTTAATGTTATTTCTAGGTTTATTAACTTTCCTGAACAGCCTATAGTTTGGCGGGAGATCAGTGTCATCACAGCAGCTCTACGAAGTGACTCCCAGGATAAGCACACACAGTTCCTACGAGGTGAGTTAAATTGGTTTATGTCTTATATTATGTGCTTATCCATTAAACTTAAAATATGATTGATTTCAGGGCTTTTTGAGACACTTCCCGCTCGTGTTCAATGTGAAATGCTCTTAAAAGCCACAGAGCAGTGTTTTAACACGTTGGAGAAAGCAGAAATGCTGCTGCTTCTTCTGAAGAGATTTCCTGAGTCTGTCGTCCAACATGGGGTTTGTAATGAACACATACACTAACTGTACTGAAGTGTGAAGTAGAACATGCTTATTAATGGTGTCATTTTGTTCTGTCAGGTTAATCTTGGGGAAACGTTGTTGGACGCTGAGGTATCAGAGAATGTGGAGTCTCCTGTTAATTGCTTTAGAAAACTTTTCGGTAAATGCAATACAGTGTTTATCATCTTATTGTAACTGTATCTTATTACCCTAATGACTTGGTTGTTAATGTTAATGGTTTGTTATTACATTTTAGTTTGTGATGTCCTTCCCTTGGTTATCAACAACATGGACATGCGGTTGCCAACAAGCCTAATGCAAAAATATATGTTGAAAGCTGCAGAGTTTTATATTGGGTATGTTACGCGGGGACCTTCACCTGATGCTCCTATACAAGGTAAATTATATCATCAACTGTCACATTAAAATGGTCATATAACAACTTTTTTCCCTCAGGCCCTCAGGATGGATCTATAAAATCCCCTTCTATGTCTCGTGGATCACAGCGTTATGTGATTGACGGCCTTTCAGAAAAGTCCTCTGTTGTTTCTGAACCTTGGGAAAAGCTGTTGGATATTTTGTCTGTCGTGGGAGCACGTTGTGAGTGGCAGGGAGACAAAGGACAGAGGTACTTCTAGTTTTTAAAATATGGCAGAAAACGGTTATATCCCAATTTTCAATTTCAGTCACTATGTTATGATTTTTAAGGTAAAGCTATCTATTTTTTTCTGACAGTTTGAACTACATTATGCGTTAAATCCTGCAACTGTATTGGTTTACAACAGTTGTTTTGAGTTGTTGCTTGTTGTTTACTAACAGTCATATTCTTAACATCATAATTTGTAAATAGGGTTATGCATTTACAAGTCATTTCACACAGTCTAATCCCCTTCAGTCATAAATTTCTGTGAAATGTTTGTATCAGTCTATTATGTTCTTGACTGAAGAAAATAAACAACCATTACTACTACTACTCTAAAGCTTCATTAAATAGAAAAGCACACATAAGGAAGTGAGACGGCAATTACAATGGAATTTTATATTGAATTTTATAAGCGCATGCGATTACTTTAATTTTGTAGCTTTGTTTGATATATTCCTACCAGAAGTTACGTGGACATGCTGCACAGAGTAAAGGAGCTGTGTCTGTACTTACCTGGTTTGGAAGGAGAGACTTTATCGCGGTGTTGCAGTCAGGTGGTCATTTGTGCAGCACTGGTCCTTTTCCGCAGTGCTTTCCTCTATGTCTCCGCCGTACAACCTGCATTGTTCCAAGGTCTGTCTCTGTTCTATTGTGTTTTTTGTTTTTTTTACTATGTCCTTTGTTTAATTAATGCCACTTGAACTAAACTTTTATTTTATTATGGCAGGTGTTAATGGGATGAGTTCTGGACCATGGATTCTTGTGGAGGACTTGAGCTCTGTCTATAATGATATAGAGGTGGAGAGAGGAGCCTTAAAACATGCACATAAAAAACGTAAACTTGCAGATGGGAGAGAGAAGACAATGGTAACAATTCATGCAAATACTAAGCCTGATACATATGTTTTTGTTTTGTAATATTTACACTTGTTTGACTTGAATCTTATTGTAGAGCTCAGATGATGAAGAAGGCTTGGGAAAGGGCAGAGGACGACATATTGTAGTTAATAAGACTGAAATGCCTGGCTGGTCAGAAACACTTGAGAGCTTCAGGACAGCAAGAGAGAGCTGGGACCTTCTTCACTCACATGAAGGCTTAGAGACTGGTAAATGCTTACAAAACAGCATAACAATTAACATTTCTACTTATACACTACACACATTTCAATTAGGTGTATTTCATTTAACACTCTTTTATTTATACAGAATTTAAAAAGATTTGTGCTGCATGGAAAACGGAGAACTGGATGTGGTTCAGAATATTCCTCACTGACATGATAATATACCAGGTAAAAAACAAATGTATATACATTTACATTCATTTTCTGATGGTAACAACTATCAAATACATATGTAAGAAAACTGACAAATACTGTTCTTTATGTTTGACCTGTAGGGGCAATACCGTAAAGCTCTTTCCAGCCTGCACCAGATGGCAGCAGTGCAGCAGCCTCATCCGGGGCAGCAGAGCCCCTCGGGACAGGCCAGTCTGGAGCACCACAGAGCTCTGATTCAACAGGCCTCCTGTCACTATGCACTGGGAGAGTACAGGGTGTGTATGCAGACAGCATAACTGTTTACTGTTACATTGTATAGCTCAAAACTTTTTTTTACATTACTGTTTTATTCAGATGGCCTGTGACAAACTACTAGATGTGGTTAGTGGGCTTGTACCCCCAAATTATGAACAGATTAAAAGTTCAGAGGACCCAGGCCGTCACAAAGTCAAATCAAGAAAAGGTAAATTTTGCAACTCACAGAACATCCTAAACATCAACTTTTTAAAGGCAATATTTAAGATTTTTATTTTTTTCACCATTGTGATATCTAATTTATTTTTTTTTTTTTTCAAAATTAGGTAATGACCTAAGGTTACTACCATGCACCAGCAAAGCCATCCTTCCCTTTTGCCTACAGCTGATGTTGGCATGTTTCAAGGTACTTAAATGCATAAAATATATAATTGAATATATGAGCAATTTACACTTCACTTGTGTTAGCTCTTAATTAAAATTTTTGCCTGCTAGCTCCGAGCCTTTGCAGAAAGCCATGATGACCTGTCTCTCGGGCATGTGATAGTTCTTCTGCAGTATGACTGGCCACAGGGGGAAAACCTCTTCCTCAAAGCAGTGGATAAGATCTGCCAGCAAGGCAGTTTCCAATATGAGAATTTCTTCAATTACGTCACCAGCATCCTTTGAATGCATTTCTCATTATTACTTTAAAAAAAATATTTTCTAAGATGTAGATTTCCTTAATCCATACTTTTTATCAGACATCGACATGCTAGAGGAGTTTGCTTACCTGCGCACACCTGAAGGAGGGAGGATCCAACTGGAGCTGCTGCCCAATCAGGGCATGTTGATAAAGTAAGTTTATTCACAGGTAACACCTGTTCTTTGGCATTGTTCAGTTGACTCTGCACACTCCCGTTCAGTTGGTGTGATTTTATGAATACCGTGATATAGATTAACAATCAAGGCCTGTGGGAACATACCATGAACTAAAATGTTTTTGGAGGGGGCATTAAAATGAATAGGGGTGTGATGTAAAACAAAATCCATCTTTCTGTCTTGTGAAAGTAGAGACAGTTGACTGCTCCCTCACTGAGTTGTTGAATGTTGCTGTCCCTCAGGAACCCTAGTCCTGCCCTGGGGGTGGAGTTAAATACTCTTCTGCTCCAAGGGGTACAGACGATGGACAGGTACCCCAGGCCCCTCCTCCCACAGTCCCCTCCCGCACCAGTCACCTCTCCTCCATCCCCAACACCAAAGCTTGTCATCCCCCAGTTTGATTTGAAACATCAAGAGTTAGCCATTCTATGATTTCCTGTTGAGTTTGTTTATTTTAGCATCTGCCCGTCTTTGGTCATCATATTTGTTCTTTCAAAGTTTTGTGAATCATTTATATCATTTATTTTGTATATTTGTCTCATTTACTTTCTGTGCAACTCTTGTAACTGGCTGTTTTCATTCAGTTTAGTGTCACAGTACGACATTGTGAAAAAGATCCTCAGCATATTGATGTCTATTAGAAATGTTATTTTAAAACACCACTTCTCACTATTGTTTTGTCTGTGTTTGTGTGCACTCTTGCAGACATCACACAGTCACTCGTGGAATCACTAAAGGCGTAAAAGAAGATTTTCGTTTGGCCATGGAGCGCCAAGTATCACGCTGTGGAGAGAACCTGCTCAGTGTGCTGCATCGATTCTGCATCAACGAGAAAATTATCATCATCCAGTCTCTTCCTTGACAAATGCAGAAACCCTCACCACAAGTTTTACATTCAGTTTCAGTGACTGGTTTCAAGATACACTTCTCATTCTCTTAAAATAACTGTTAATTCTATTCACCATCCACTGTCAACTTCAATACTCAACACTGTATTTGTCATGAAAAAAATGCATTTTTGTCTTTTGAAAGTAAACTTTAATGGTTTTGTAAAAAAAAAAAAAAAAAAGCATTTGATTATTCATTTTTTAAACACATTAAGTATACATGTTACAGTCCAGTAATTTCAGCAACAACAATTTATTCACAATATCATTAGTGCAGGGTTTATTCTTGGTTACACTTCATAATAACCACACCTTAAGTAGCCTTAATAAAGTATGAGAAAAGACTTTATGAGGAAAGACAATTTGTTTAGGGATGCACTGATCCGATACGGGTATAGGATATCATCGCAGATACCAAAAGATTTTCCAGAGGATATTGGCTTCTTAATATCAGTTCAGCCAAAATCCTAATTGGATTAATGGAATAAAACTTGTTCTGCCCAGAAAGCTGTTCTGTCGATACTAGAGTGATAAATAAATAACTACATAACACATTTGGATCTGTTTGTTTTAAGGAAATAAATGCTTTTTTTTCAGTTTTTGGTGTGGGTATGGGTTGATTTTTAAATCCATAGTATCATAATCAGTACTGGTTCTGAAAAAGATGGATTGCTGGATTACAATTGCTTAAATACTACTTTTAAACTACTATTAAAGGGCTGGGGTATTAATGAAGTATTTACTAAGCATGAATTATCATTATCTGAATGATTAGTCTGAATGAATTATTGGTTCATTGTGAATTAAAGGTGCATTGTGTAACTTTTTGGGTGGAGACTCTCAGGTCAAATGCTTTCCTCCGTAGAGATGGTATTGCTCTGTCTGGAATGTTTCACAGTGTGGTGTTAAACCTTTCTATCATCATGGAGACCAAACCAGACCAAAATGGAGGTCAGATCTCTGGAGAGGCAACCCCACTCACAATCAGAATACCTGTTTTTCTAGGTATTTTTGAGCAGTAAAATCACTTGTAATTGAATTAATGTAAGGTAGAGCTGTTACAACGTTATACTGTGGAACATTCCAGGCAGTGTAATGACATATCCATAGACAGACCCCCAACAAAAAATCACACAGTGCACCTTTAAGTCTTCATAAGGCATCTTAGATGTAGTTATTATAACGTGTTACTCAATTATTATTTACATATTTTTTACTCTCCAAATCACTCCTCAAGTTCTGAGACAGGTGCACTGGGTATATCCGACTGCAGTGCTGCTCGAAGATTGGCCCAGAACAGCCTCTGCTTGGCCTTCTCCTGCGGCCACTCTAAGTAGGTGTGTCTTCTCATCATGGACTTCAGTTGGTGGTACTTGGATGGTATTAGATATTGTGGCAACGGCTCCAGTAAAACCAATACAACACTGTCTGGACCTCGTGCCAATCTCTGGTGTGTGGCAAAGTACAGTTCATAATGGCACCACTCACTCTTCACAAAATGAGCTGAAAGAACAAAAACTGATCTGCGACTTTTTTGCACACAGTTCATGATATTCTCAATGATTGTCCTCCCTGGCATGAAATGTTTCTCATGATGGCAAATTCTTAACTCTGCCAGATTGGGAAGCATTGAGTTGTGCACCCAGTCTGCATTATGTTGACTAAAAGAAGTGAAAGCATGAAATTCAACTCCCTCTAGTTCCTCTATTGGGATATTCTGCCTTCTTGCTCTGTGCTTTGCTCTTGTCCACTGCAGTATCATCCCTATATACCAGGGAACATCAAACTGGCGGCATGCAACCACTATTGTTATAAGTGTAACAATAGCTGGACATAATATGGTAGCAGCTAGCAGGCCAGAGTTGCAAGAGATTTCAGGTATTGACACATCTCTTAATATGGTTTTGCGCAGTTTTTGAGGATACAGACAGTAGTAGCCCGATGGCCAGTTTAGTATGTTAATTTCTGTTGCATGTCTTTCAGATTTGATCCCAAGGTTTCTGAATCCACGCAAAGAGCAAATGCAGGTGAAGGGGTTATGACTAATGTCTAAGATTTGCAACTGTGGACAGCTTTCTAGTTTCTGTACAGATGGGGCATGAAGTGAATTTGACTTGAGAAGAAGAACATTCAGCATAGGGAATCCATTGCATACCGGTAAGTCACGCAGCCTGTTGCTATTCAGGTTTATAGATGAGAGATATTGAAATTGTATAACTATTGGCGGCACTACAGAAACCTGATTATTTTCCAGGTCTAGAATCTTTATGTTTTTTGGTATGCAACTAAATACAGTGTCTGCCAGATTGTTCGAAGATAGGATCATGGTAGTGATATTTGGAGGCCAGTGACACTCCTCAAGTCCATCATAGGCCAAAGAGTTCTGGCTCACGTCTAGTTTCTCCAGTGAAATCATATATTGCATACGTTTGCTAATCGTCTGGAAATCTTTTAAATTGTTGTCAACTAAAGTCAGTGTATGTACATTTCCCAAATTCTTGCACTCAATTATTTGTTGATGGTCGATTCTGTAAAATATAGTATCTGACAAAGCACAATAGGAAAAGTTGAGATGCTGGACTGGACTTGGTGACTTGGGGCATGTCATGTGTATAATTGAAGTCTCAACGATTTCTAGTTTGGGAACAGGAATGTTAATTAAAAAGTTGTAAACTGCATCTTGGGAGAAAAACACGGACTTCGCTTCTGCTCTTCTACCTAACACTGATCTAACTGTGGATGTTTTTATAACTGGAGTGTCGTTATAAGGCAAATTTGTGAATGCAAAATCAGAGAAGGTCACATGTAAAGTTGATGTTTGCAAGACAGCATTCACATAGTTAGTGAAGTCTATCCACATAATGATACAATTTGAAAGGTCCAAAGAAGTTGTATAGATCTGTTTTCTTGCAGTTAATATCTCAGTTAATATTTCATAGCCACTTGTCACATTGGTCAACTCCACTTTGTCAAAAAAAGAGAGGGCGTCAGACACCAAATCATGATGAATTTGTTGTTTTTTAAGGAAGGATATCTTAAGCTTTTTAGTTTGAACATCTTGTAAGCTGTGTTCTTCATAGTAAAATTCATGTCCAACATACAGAAATACTGTCACTAATTTAAGTTCAGAAATGTGCATAAAATCACCTCTACTAATTTGTTTGGCTTCAATTGACAATTTCTTCAAATTCTTCAGCCCACTAAACTCCTTTCCAAGAGTCATATTGGTGAACTGGTTTTGGTCCAAATGTAGTACCAGGAGGTTTCCAGTGTGCTGTAGGTATTTCTGGTCTTCTAGGTTTGTCAGTTTGTTGTGAGAAAGATCCAGTATTTGAAGCAACAATGTGTTCACGAATGCCTCTGGATCAATAGTTTCCAAGTTATTCCATGACATGTTCAGGAACCTAAGATGTGTAGTATTTCTGAAATCTCCTCCATGCAGTTGTCTGATGTGGTTGCAGGAAAGGTCTAAGTGCTCAACTGTGCGTGGTAGGTCTTTAGGGACAAAGGAGAGGTTTTTATCTGATAGATCCACAAATCGGTCTGAACTTGAAGCACCGTCCTGAAGTTTTGCCAACATGGCAACTGTCCAGATGACTGCAGTGATGTACCACATGTTTCGCCCACTAAAGGCAAGTGAAATTAAAATTAAACCATGAGTCAATAATTATACATTTTCCATATGGAGATTTTAAAACACACAGGTTCCAAAATGAAATTGGGTCTAAAATGGGTCGTAGGAAAACTTTTATAGCATTCAATGTACAGACATTAAAAGTATAGACATTTTACACACTGGCTCTTCATTTGCATATGTGAATGGCTTGAAAATGAATCCAATTACAAACTACCCTACTGTCTATAAATAATTTGAAATATTAGTCACTATAATAAATACTATGAATACCACCATAAGCCATGTTGTATTAACAACAATAATATCTATAAGAAAAACTTACCGAGTGAATCTTCTGCATATGAGAACTGGTTGTGTGCTAAACACAGTCTGTTGATTAAGTGATAATTCAAAGCTTTTGGGGGAAAGACCTTGCCTCTAGTCCACATCCTCTTTTCACTTCTCTTTCATAACTGAAAACTGTGTGTCTAAAACCACCCAACAATACTAATTGTGTATTTATGGGAAATAAGTCAACAACAAACAATTGGCTATTTGTTTTACATTTACATTATTAACAGACTTAGATGAGTGTGGGAGAGAAAAAGCCTGTCTGCCTACTCTAGCAGGTGTAATTTCCTGACGTTTGTTCTCTGTGGTTGATAAATGAGGATCCTAATGCAGTTTACCTTTTGCCTTGGAGCAGACTTTGCCCAGAGCCACTACAATGTTGCTTTCCCTTTTTAAACTGTGAGGGTGATGAGGAAAATGTCCTTTCAGTGCAATAAGATGACCTGCTTTGGTGAGATTGTGTGAGATAAACACACCAAACTTAAACGGCAGTGATTTCTGCTGTCAGGTTGTGCTGTTACAAAGAGCGGAGCTTAATCAAATAAGGTCCTAGGAACTGGTGTCACTGTTTCCCTTGGCAGTGGTATTATTATATTGCAAAGATGCATCAGCTAAATATAATGAAATCAAGTTGAATCACTTCATTGAATAGATTATTGTACAAAAAATACAATTTTAAATATTACAAATACAAATGGATTTGACAAAACAACAACAAATCAACAATGTTATTACCCTAGGCTGATAATGTTAATATTTGGTCCCTAAAGCTACCTGCAAACTACACTGACATTAAAGCACTGGTTAACAGTTTGCATTTTGCCATCTCTTTTTAGGGTTTTTATAGAAAATGCTCACTCTAGTGTACATGATGTGTATATTATCATTGACATATGTTTTATATTGCAGAATATTTGAAATTCCTGTCCAGATTTTTATTTATTTTTTTGTTACTGCTGTAGAGACAACTTCATCAGCCAAGATCAGAGTTCAAGGTAATAATTGACACATGATCCTCCTTTGTGACAATCAGCATGTTTATTAACCTGTAAATATGTTGTCTTACCAGTTTAATCTTAATTTAAATGAGTTTTTATTACAATTAAAATATTATTCACAACTACAAAATATTCTTCCAGATTATATTATTAAATTATATGACTTTACTCTTTACAAGTGGACAGCCAGTGTGCGTATCTGGCAAGGAGGGGCCAGAGTACAGCAAGGAGAGATAGTGACGTTTCATGAGTTCAGATGGACACCGTAACACCTCAGGCTTCACATGTCCCTTTCGTATTATAGTCTACTCTTCCACTATGGATGTCTCATGTTCAGCTATCGGATTTACAGTTTCATCCAGAAGATATTTGACAAAGTGATTCATTATGCAGACCCATCCTTTTAACTTCACGCAACAATGCTTTTTCCTGCTTTTACTGGTGTGTGGATGGAGCTGGACAGCTTGCGCTCTTGGGGAGGGCTGGAAAATTTGGCAACAGCAAAAACCGGATCACATCTCACGAGACCAAGTTTTTTTACATGACACTTTTCCCACTGATTTCCTATGGGCAACTGGAACATCTGCTTTTCAAACAGAAGGAGCCTGGGAGCAAGATGGGAAAGGAATCTCCATTTGGGACAATTTCACTCATTCCAGATTTGGTGGCTCTGCGGACATTGCAAGTGACAGCTATGTGCAATGGGAAGAAGATGTCAAAGCTCTAACATTTCTAGGCATAAAGGCATATACATTTTCACTATCCTGGCCACGACTTTTTCCAAATGGGGATGCCCAAAATAAACCCAATTTGGCAGGTGTAAGACACTACAATCGCCTTATCGACAAACTATTGGAAAACAATATTGAGCCCATTGTAACTCTGTATCACTGGGACCTGCCACAAATGTTACAGGAACAGTATGGTGGATGGAGGAATGAAACTTTAATTGAACTTTTTGAAGAATATGCTTCATTTTGCTTTCAAACATTTGGAGATAAAGTCAAATATTGGCTCACGATGCATAATCCATATTTAATGGCCGTACAGGGATATGGTACAGGTATCCATGCACCTGGAGAGACTGGAGGGGATTTAAGTGCTCTGAAAGTTGCACACAATATGATTAAGGTGAGCAACACAACACCAGAAAATTGAACTTTAAACCTCAAATATTTCCATTCAATACATTTTGCAATCAGCCATGTCTTTGAGGTCAAGATGGTAAACCAAATGCAATTTCCTGTTATTGTGTACTATGATGTTGCAATAAAGTTAGGAATAAAAATCTAGGATAAAAATAGGATCCAGTATATGCAGTTGTATTATGCAATATAAATATATGTATATAGAATCATAATTCACTTTATTTATTCAAATATACCTTAAGTCATGTTTTATTTTGAAGGATTCTCTGATCAGTAAACACGGCACTTAAAGGCAATGAGGTCGAAGTCCACCACATCAACAGAAATGTGTTGGACACAATGTTATATGGCAGGAAGTCATAGAGATATGGCTTATTAGTAATAACCACTGAACCACAAACACTAGATGGTGAATGTGTGAATGACAACAAGCAGATGGAGTGAGCAAACAGCCATGGGGCCTCATAATTACGACAGGCACGACAATGGCCTGCATATCATGCTTGTTTCTGCTTTTAAATGATTTACCAGTTATATCAGTGGTTATGTTTACATGCACACCATAAGTAATTGTGATGATTGTTCACATCTGTGCAGGTGTTCACTATGGAAATTATCCCCAAAAAATAATAATAATAAATAATAATAATAATAATAAAAAATATTGATAAGTACAATGCACAAAATGAAAAGAGAAATTGTAAAAATAAAGTTGGGTTGTTTTAAAATGTATTATACTTTGTCTTAGTTATTCTGGTAACAGTTATCCTATTTAAGTCTCCCCAGATGTTTTTGATCAATAATCAGGTTATTATGATAACTATTTGGTTATCTGATTACTTTTCTGGCCATGTAAATGCATCCAAAGTAAAATATTTTTTGCTTATGTGATTTCTTCTTTTGTAGGCACATTCCAGAGCTTGGCACAAATACAACACCCATTTCCGCCCACATCAGAGGGGGGAGGTGTCCATTGTTCTGGGGTCCCACTGGGTCGAGCCCCAAAGAGCCACAGAGGCAAATGTTGAACTTTGCCAGGCGTCAATGGAGGCTGTTCTGGGCTGGTTTGCCAATCCTATATTTGGAGATGGTGACTATCCATTATCTCTAAAGTTAAAACATGGCACTGCTCTTCCCACCTTTACCGAAGAAGAGAAGTTATGGGTGAGAAACACGGCAGACTTTTTTGCTTTGTCCTTTGACCCTAAAAATCTGCGTCTGGGGCGGACCCAGGCCCAGTACGGACAGAGTGTGACTCCAGACCTGAGAAGAGTCCTCACGTGGATCAAACTGCAGTATGAAGACCCTCTGGTGCTGGTGGCTGAGGCGGGCTGGTTATCTGACGCCAGTGAAACAACAGAGAACACTGTGGCCTTATACCTGATGAAGAGATTTGTCAACCAGGTCCTACAAGGTGAGGGGGTATAGCAAACTCTTAAAGGTACACTATGTAACTTTTCTGGTGAAGGGGCCACCACCTGCTTGTCTCTATATATTGTTGGTCTACTGCTTGCTTCTCTCAATATGTTATTTGCCTGAATGTTCCACAGTATGGCCTTGAACTTACCTATTTCCTTGGAGACAAGCCACCAGGTCAAGTTACTTATCAGAGCTTTGGGGAAAGAGTATGAATGAATGTTTTTTCCATGTATTTTTAGCAATAAAAACAAAATTATTTGAATAAATGCAAGATAGAACCTTAATGATAAACTGTGGAACATTCCAGACACAATAATAGCATATATAAAGACACATAATATAAGTAAATGGCATGTACCAAAATAACACAAATGAAAAAGCACTGTTGTTGCGAGTAGCAGTTGAAAAATAATAATTATTTATAATAATTATTATGTTATATGTTAATGAATTTATGGTTGAATATCAAGGGGTGAGGTTTAGGGAAGAACATGAAAATGAGAGGCAGGAATAAATTAATGTTCAACATATATCTGTTATTTTGTTGCAGCCATTAGGTTTGATGGAGTCCAAGTGATGGGCTACACAGCGTGGTCTCTCCTGGATGGATTTGAATGGGAGTATGGTTATGATATAAGACGAGGACTTTTTTACATTGACTTCTCTGATCCCGAGCGAAACAGGAGCCCCAAAACATCTGCACTGTACTACAGGGAGATTATTGCCCAGAATGGTTTCCCTCAAGACAAAACCTCTCCAGAGATCAAGGCACATTTCCCATGCGATTTTCATTGGGGAATTGCTGATCCAACTTTACAAGTGAGTAACTATAAAATATATCTGTTACATTTTAAAAGTTTATGGGCAGTATTCAGTTTATATACTCAAATTAATTTGCTTGAGTAACTTTTTGATAAAACTGTAAAATAGTTTTCAGTTTTTCTACTCCTACTTTGCTGATATATTTTACAGTGTAAAAGTTCTCATACTTGAGTAAAAGTTTTGGTTACTCCTCCCACTGTTAGTATGAGTAAGTGTATAAGTGACAAAAGCTTGAACATTTGTAAAATGATCTGAACATTCTTGCACTATTCCTTCAAATATCTACTTTTTTTTTTTTAATTATAGTTCTCTGTCCTTTGAAAATGCCACATTTTGTGCATGATAAAACATTTTTGTCCTTTTAATTACATTAACTTCATATATATGTGCTATAAAACAGATATTAGCTCCACTTACTTAATCTTACTTGAGTAGTAGTTTACCCAAATACTTTTTTATTGTTACTTGTGTAATTTCTTGGATCATTACTTAAAAAAAATATAAATAAATAATCATAACAGTACTACTAAAGGTCCACTAAATGCCCCACAAACGCTTTACTCAATTCTTGGATACTCTCACCGCTTTTGACTTTATGCACTTGTATTGTTGTAGGTCCACTTCCACCCCTTCTCCCCTCAGTTCACCGACCCACAGCTGTACATGTGGAACGTATCCGGAGATGGGTCCCTCCTCCCCGTCCCAGGAGTGAGGCTCCACACAAGACCCTCCCAGTGCACCAGTTATTTGGCCATTCGAAATCATCTACATCTGTTTGCCTCCACTGGGGCATCTCACTATAGATTTGCCCTGAACTGGTCTCTAATTTTACCCCAAGGTGACCTGTCTAATGTGAACACAGCCGCACTCAGGTATGAATAACCAAGGTTATCTCTTTATTTTTTGAGGCGGTAACAACATTTTAATACACCTTAAAGTTCACAAGAAAACATTTTGTTCAATATATAACCTTTAAATTTAAATACCGCAATAACATTATTATTATATTCAACATGGTGGAAAATCAGATTCATTTTTCATATTGTGCAGGTAATAATGTTGTTGTTTCTTTTGCTGTAGGTACTACTGCTGCATGTTGTCTGAGCTCACAAAGATGAACTTGAAAGCTGTTGTTGTCCTGTATTACCCCTCACACAGTGCTCCTAACTGGGGTCTCCCTGTGCCTTTGCAAATCTCTGGGGGCTGGCTCAACTACAGCACAGTGGAGGCATTTCGGGACTATGCTTCACTTTGCTATAAAGAGCTGGGGCCATGGGTTCAGTACTGGATCACAATCAATGAGCCTAATAGACTTATAGATGTCTACAGTAGTGGGAGAGATAAACATCAAGTGGCACATAACCTGCTTCTGGCTCACTCAAAAGCTTGGAGATTGTATGAAGAGAAATACTCAACACAGCAGAAAGGGTTGGTGTCATTGGCTCTGCATGCAGACTGGGCTGAGCCTGCCAATCCATTTCTACAGTCCAATATTGAAGCTGCTCAAAGATTTCTTGTATTTGAGCTAGCCCGATTTCTAGACCCTCTACTTGGGAACAAATATGAGAGACAACAAGACAGAGGGGGATATCCAAATGAAATAAAGACATTTCTAGCACAAGCCGGTCTCCAAGGATCTTCTCTTCCCAATTTTACTGAAACTGAAAAGAATGAACTTAAAGGAGCATTGGGGTTTATTGCCTTGAACCACTTTACAACACGTTTAGTCTCTCCTTACTCCCCAAAGCAGCCCAGACCAGCGCCAGATCATAACTGCAGAACTCTAACTGATCCTACGTGGGCTACGTCAAAGCAGGGGCAGGCTGTGGTCCCATGGGGACTGAGGAGCATTTTAAACTGGGTGACCAAAAGATATGGAAGAGATTTGCCCATCATTGTCACTGGCAGTGGGATAGATGACCAGGCTGCTGTGGATGATAAACTCAGACAGTACTATGTAAAGAGCTACTTACAGGAGGCTCTAAAAGGTAAGGCTCACATTGACACGTTTTTATGAGTGTACATTTCCTACTATAAAATCCAGGTTAAATGAGGGACTGGGGACCATAAATAAAGAAGCAAGGAACATAATGTACGACCTTATGACAAAATATAGATAGTATGTTAACAAGGGGCAGAAATCTAGATCAGCAGAGCTCATATTACGACGCAGAGGCCAAAAGTGGCCGTTAGACCACTTCTTGTTGACCCCTAAGGCTTCATGCTGAACTGGCCCAAGTGATCATATTAAAGTGCGTATGGTTTGTGACTTAATTTAGTGGGATAATACCTGTTGTAAATATAAATGATAGTTTTACACCAATCAAAAAGCAGTTTATGAAGAAAAGTTGAAAAAAAAATTACAGGAAGTAGAGTGTTCTATTTTAGATTCCATTTCCCATGTCATGTCAAAAAAATGTCAAATTTTTAGCAACCCTTAAATATATATAACCTGTCAGGCACTTTAAGCAGTATTTTTAACTGCAAACAATTCTACCATAACATACAACATATACATAACATATCATAACTTCATTAACAAGCATGCCAACCTTATTAAAGCTGTAGTAGAGCTGTTCTACCTATGTATGCATCCATCTGAATAATTCATGATTATTATCCACTAGTCTGTGGCTCGGGGTTAAAAAAAAAAGTTTAGACATCTCTGATCTAGATGTGAACATATGCTATTGTTAGAAGAGGTAAACACTTTGATCTATATCTCTTGCACTTTGTCTCCAGCTCACCATGTAGATGGAGTCAACCTACATGGCTTTTACGTGTGGAGGTTAGAAGATCGACATTCTCCTAATTTTGGCCTGTTCTCGTCCACCTCTCACCAGTCTAAAGCCAAGGTCTCTGTATCTGTTTACAAAGACATTATAGCCCAAAGGGGGTTCCCTGAGAGTGCTACAGTTCAAATGTGTCACTTGAATGAGCAGCAGGAAATCTGTTCAGTTTGTGTATGGATGCATCAACACAAGGTGATGCTAGTCTTCGGAGCATGTGTCCTAATCACAGTAGTTATGTTGGTACTGCTTATAATATTTATTTTATTGACAAAAACAAACTCTGTGAGAGGCAGGAGGACACCAAAGAGCTGGAAGAAAAAAACGCACACTGTACCCCCATGTGTTTTTATCAGTACAATTCATAATAGTAGGAATCGGAAAGATTTGGTGTTATAAGCAAAGTCTTGTATGTGTAAGTCTACTTGCTCCATCATAATATTATCCATATTATTCAAACTTATTTTTTCAATTGATAATTTTTGCATCTGCTTATGTTTATGTAAATATGTCTGTGTATATTTTTATTTTGTGATTTAAATTGTGTTTTTTTTTTCTGAAATACTCTGAATAATGGTGTAGAGTGAAATTTTGTGAAACAACATTGCCCTCTACTGTTTTTTGAGGATATGGAATAATAATTCATATTGGGCAAAATAGCAATACATTATTCATTTGTGATATCTATGTATTTATTAATGCTTTATTGCGCCAAAAATAAAATGCTATTGCTATGTGTCAAATCCACAACAAGGTGTAATGGCTAACACATTGGTTGCATTATTACAGTGTAATTTCATCCGTGTTGTTTCGTGATTTAGAAAGCATGAACAATTATGTTAAGAGTAATTAAGACAGCAGCCAATGGAAACAGGGCTTGAAGATGGCAATACAGATCACATGACCCCTCTCATCCAGACTGCATGCAGGTTGACATTAAAATGTTTTCCGATCCACCAACCTTTGTTTCGTTTCGGTTTTGAGATGATACGGTTACAGTGAGTCGCTTTTACGCGTAGATTGAGTGGGATAATAAAGTGTAAAAGACGAAGTGGAGGAGAGCATCAGAGCAGCTGTTGTTTTGAGGTCTATCAGAAAGTGCAGAGCTAAGTGTCAGCAGCTAGGTTAGGTTAGCAGTCATCAGGTCCAGGGAGGCCCCAAGCCCACTCAGCACGGGGAACCATGGCCAACATCGCAGTCCAGAGGATAAAACGTGAATTCAAAGAGGTCCTCAAAAGCGAAGAGGTACGTGGTGGTGATAAAAACTAAAATGCTGCAGTCTGTGTTTTTGCTTTATCAGAAGTGGCACTGCTTTAGCTGCGCGTTGCTAATCAACACTATTTGCAGCAGCTAGCTGTTGACTGTCCTCATATGATGTTTTAACATTATTTTGACATAAAGCTACAGTTACTGTAATGGCAAACGTGTCTTTTATTCAATAATAAGTCAATAATGGCTTTAAAAAATTAACCGGGGCTGATACTACAACGTAAACACTCTGTCCTCCATAGCTGGTGCTAACTATGTTAGCCTCACCACATAGTTTTATTTTTGGACAGGTCTAGGAACTATATTAATCCACTGTACGGTGTTTCCCCTCTTCATACTGTGCATATTGACTAAATGTCACTTTTATATTTTGTTAACATAAAGTATTTTACAGTTAAACTGTAACATCATACAATGGTTTTAAACGAACTGAGCGTACTTCTGTTATAATTAGCGAAAAAGCGTCCTTGCTGTCTAATCAAGTTGAGTCAATAATAAGTCTACTTATAAAATGAATGTAACCTGCTAAAAAAAAGGGCTTGACATAGGCTGAAAATAACATAAACTGAAGTACTACGAGGAAATCCAGTATGTGCAACAACTTTTATTAGCCATAGGACACACTGGGTAGCATAGTGGCTGTGCTAGCTACTATGCTAACTAGCATCCTACAGTTTCGGACACACAGTTTATTTTAGACAATTGGACATTTGATAGACACTACTTCGTGACTACTGTTTCCACTCAGTACGGGTGTTCCCCTCTTCATACATACTGTGCATAATTGGACTAAATTCGTTTTCACTTAATGCAACAAGTCCAGGTCAATCTTGGCTAACTTGGCCATGGGGGTGTCAACTTTTGCTGCATTGGCATGTTTGAGTTTGACAGCACCAGCTCCTCAGTGTGCCTTTGATTTCTTTTATCTCCGCAGACGAGCAAAAACCAGATTAAAGTGGATCTGGTGGACGAAAACTTCACAGAGCTCAAAGGAGAAATAGCAGGGCCCCCAGACACACCTTATGAAGGTAATGACCTGCTTCTTCTGTCTGTCAGTCTCCCTGCTTCTGCAAGATTGCATGGGAGTTGCAAAAGTTCAAGCGTAATTGGATTTTCTGTGTCTTTGTTTTGATTGCCAGATGTTTAAACAATTTTTACTGTATTTTTCCAGGAGGGCGATTTCAGCTAGAAATTAAAATTCCAGAAACGTATCCATTTAATCCACCAAAGGTAAGCGATTACTTTAAATATTAATAATAATCGTTACTACCTCAAATTGTCTTGGGCATTGTCTATATAAATGTATATGAGCGCCTTTAAACTGTTTTTACCCTTGCATTTCAGGTGCGGTTTATCACAAAGATTTGGCATCCCAACATCAGTTCAGTCACAGGTGCAATATGTCTTGACATCCTAAAAGACCAGTGGTGAGTAAAAATGTTTTTTAACTGTATTTCTTTTGTGTGTGTGTGTGTATATATATATATATATATATAAAAATATAATATATATATATACACACACACACACACACACATATATATATATACACATAAACACACGTATATATATATATATTATTTTATTTTTTTTTCTCTTTATATATATATATATATATATATATATATATATATATATATATATATATATATATATTATATATTATATATAATTTATAAATTAAAAAAATAAATAAAAACATTGGCTTTCCTTGTTTTTCCCCTCCAGGGCAGCAGCGATGACACTAAGGACAGTCCTCTTGTCGCTACAAGCCTTAATGGCAGCTGCAGAGCCAGATGATCCTCAAGATGCTGTGGTAGCCAACCAGGTTAGCATGAACTCCACGGTATTTTTTCTCTTAGGACAAAGTTTTAGTGCCTTTTAATACCATGCTACTGTCTGTTATCTATTGACTCTTGTATTGTTTGTTGTAAATGATTTGTTATTCCTCTGTTATGTTATTATACACATTATTATTCACAGTATAAGCAGAACCCTGAGATGTTTAAACAAACAGCAAGGCTCTGGTCTCACGTCTACGCTGGTGCTCCTGTCTCCAGTCCAGAGTATACATGCAAAATAGACAAACTGTGTGCCATGGGCTTTGAAAAAGTATGATGCAGTTCACTTATTTACTGGTGTACCATGTTCTCATCTGTATAATGAACGTGTTTATTTTTCTCAGAATGCAGTCATAGTGGCGTTGTCATCAAAGTCCTGGGATGTGGAGACGGCAACAGAGCTACTGCTGAACAACTGAGTTTGATCTGCTCCTCAATACTCCTGTTTCTCCTCATCATTACACTCGCCCAGAGCCTGCTCCAAACCCACTGTCCAAAAGGTCCTATATTATGCATTATAGGCTTTTAAATCTTTGTACAGCCTAGCTTCGGTACTGCATGTAGTTTAACTTAATGTATATGTATGGGAAACAAGTCAAATCACATCCCTTCTCAAATGTCTACATACAAAACACCAGTAGAGGGTGCAAGGAATTGATCTCTTGATGCACTAGAGGTTAAAGCAATTGAAACCAAGTTCAAAACAATGGCTGTTAGAGCTAAACATTTTTTTTAAGCTGCATAGATAAAGCAGTTCTAGCTGTTGAACCGAAAAGATCCAAATGTGTCAGTTTGAAATGGAAGAGCATTGAACACATACTGTAGACCAGTGGTGGCAAGATAAAGAGTGGTAAGGTATGCTTTAAAGGAAAAAATAATAATTTCAAGTTTGTTTCAAGGGAACATTACTATATTAAAAGCTCATGATAGTCAGTTTAGCGTAATCTAGGACCTTCAAAGCATCTGTCCACCTCTCATCCTTCTGTGTGTGGCATTTCCCTTTGTCCCTCCTTTGCTCTTCTCTTCTCCTTTCTTCTAACCCTTCTCTCTTCTACCCCTCTTCTGCTCTCCTGTTTCTCTTTACTGCCCCCCTCTGCTATACTGCTGTATCAGTCAGTGTTGCTCCATGAACCAATATTACCGGTTTCTTGAGGTTCATAAAACATTCCACTGAGCGCTACAATCACAAGTCGAGACACATCTGCTCTCTTTATAAAGAAATGCCTGATTTGAAACCCTGCCACTCCCCTGTCAGTCAGTGGCTGATTCTTGCCTATGCAGTGCATTCTACGTGAAAACCTTTGTTGAAGAGTCAGATCATTTTCGGAGGCTCTTTCCACCAAATCAAGATTTTGGCACAATGTTGGCCTGTTTTTTCAAATGTGGACAAACAAAAGGTTGAGAAAATGTACCTGAAGGAAATTTTTTATTTTTTCATTTTAATCTAAAGGATGTATTGCCATGTTGGGTTCTCATTATGGTATTTTAAAGTCCTTGCCCAGATATTGAACTTTTAGTAGTTCCAACCATATGGCTCAAATTTAATCCCCAAAACATGCTACATAAGTCTCCAAGAATAGTTGATAGCCAAGGTCAATTAAATACAATCAATGAACCTGCCCAGGGATGACAGGTGGAAATTAGCACTGATGCTACAATGCATCTCTCCTGTCAAGGTTAATGTAAAAATTGTGCGCTGTCCCTGTCTTAAATAAATAAATACAGTCCAAAAAATTGTCTTTAAATTCAGAAATCAACATTAGTAAAAATCTATTTGTAAATCAGGCTATTGTCACTGAGGTCTCACACAGTAGCCATAATCACCCTTTTCCACACCACAGTTTCTCCACTGTCTTTGCACACTCCTCCAGCAAAACCCCGTCATCATTGTACATTACTTTCTTTCTGCCGTGTTTAAAGTGATTTTAAACATTTTTTATTTTATTTTGACTGCCTATGGGAATAAATTTGGGTTCTTGTTTTTATTCTGAAAACATAGAAAAAGGCTCAGCAGTAACAAATTGTCAAACAGACAAAGTAAGTTTCATCTGTAAATAAAGATATAAAGTCTGTGTAAATTAACAAATTCTTTGTCATTTTTGTGTTACCTCAATTCATTTTGACAAACAAATACTTGATCAGTTTCCATTCATAATGCTGTTAATACTAGCATTTTGCTTAGTCTCTCGTATTTTTTTATATTATGTAACGTGACATGTATTCAGTTAGCAAAAGCTTTTACTTCGCATATATTTACATTAAAACCTGGGTCATGAATGATTAGCTGTGTAGCTGAATCTATGGGGAATTGTGCTGCAGTAAAATGGAACAAACCTATTTAGATGAATGTGTATGCCTATTGATAAATTAATCTGAGCTTTGTATTGGGCAATGGGGTGCAGGTGTTTTGCTAAGCAATTGATATAATTTCCCCTCTCAAATCAATCTTCTCCTTTTCACTCAGACCTTGAAATACTTATACTAATACTTATACTCTGTTGTGTAGTTTTTAATTAACTGATTAATAGAGATGGAGGAGATGGAGGTAGCTCCTCACTGTCTAATTTTCAAACCAGGGTTTTTTTCAAGTATTGAAAATCTGAAAAAAGAAAAGAACATATTTAAGGGACAAAATTTGACCTTTCCTAACTAGTTATTAATGGATTAAGGGTTAATATCCTAACCCCTAAGCCTGAAGGGTTCTTAATAAACTGTTAGTTGATTATGAATTTGCAAAGTCTTTGTTGCACCCCCGAAATGAACGACAAGACTCGCGTTCATTTTAGTGAGTACAGGAGAAATAGTTATCAACTAGAATCCCTGTTTTGCTGTATCGACTTAAATTAAAGGTACACTGGTAGGACTCCCAAGACCATTAAGTCACATGTGGCTAAATCTACCACTCCACACTTCACTTAATGTCTTAACATTATATCACGCTTAGAATGTAGTACTCTCATTTACAGACTACTCTTGTGTTATCTAGAACCACACACTTCTTCCTGTAAATGCATCAGTAACTCAAGTGTAGTATATAAAGTCTCGAGAAATAATTTCTGATAATTGACTTAATGACTAATTGGTTGTGCTTTTTTTTTTTTTTTTAGCTTTATCTAACACAAACTTTAACTTTATCAAATTCAAAACATATTTCTACTTCTTTAAAGGTTTAACACTAGGTTTGCCTAAAGTATCATATGTAAAGATACATCTTGGCTGACATGTTCTTGTAGATCGTCTCTCTCGTTCAACTTCATGTTCGTCCTCTGAGGAAGTGTCCGTGTCTTCGGGCACTACAGTGGACCTGTAGTGCCCGAAGACACTGTTTGTCCTTCAGAGTTTGTGTCCTGATTCTGACCTGTATCCGGTGCCTCCATGTCCTCTTCAAGTCTCCTTTCCACTTGACCAGTGAGCTCTGTAGAATCATCTTCATCCAGTGACTGTCTCTGCTCTTCATAAAGGTTTTCAGCCTGTGTTTCTACTGCAGGGTTGCTGACTTTTGATTTGAAGACTGGGGCATTTGGATTGAGATGAGCAGTTGAGGCATGACTGGGCAAATACAAAATATACTCTTCATCACTATTACTGTCAGAATCAGCATGAATATTGTTTCGATTTGTTGGTTTTGGTTTGTTTATTTGTCCATTTTGACTACATGTCTCTTTTTGTCTTATAGTGTCTATTCCATCAATAAGATAAGGACAGGGCAATAAAAGATTTCTATGAAGGACACGTTCTCTTCCTTCACCATCTATTGGTGTCACCACATACACAGGGCTGTCTTTACCTCTCTTTTCTTTGACTACATGTACTTTGTTCTCCCAGTAAGCACGTTTTTTACGAGGCCCTCCTCTTTCAGAAAGGTTTTGGACAAGTACATTGTCTCCAGGCTCAAGTACAGAACTCCAGGTCTTTTGGTTATAACACATTTGTCCTCTTTTGCCTGCCTTTCTCATGTTTTCTTGAGCAATGCTGTATGCTTGTTGCATTGATGTTTGCCATTTCTCAGCGTATCCTTCATGAGATTGTGACTGCTTTTGTTCTCTTGGGAGCAACAGGTCAATTGGCAAAAATGGTTCTCTCCCAAATAACAGATAAAAAGGCGAAAATCCAGTAGATTCGTGAACTGTTGAATTGTACGCATGTACCACCTTATTTAGATAATCTTTCCAGTTGGGCTTTTGCGTTTCCTCCAGTGTCCTGAGCATACCGAGTAATGTTCTGTTAAAACCCTCAGCTGGATTGGACTGGGGATGGTAATGTGTAGTCCTTGAGTGCTCTATGCCACTGTACCTTTGTAACTTTTTGAACAGTTCATTCTCGAATTCCCTCCCCCTGATCATGGTGAATTCTAGCAGGGAACCCAAATCTCAAAATAAAGTCATCAAATAACTTGCTGCTGTTTTACCAGACTTGTTTGGAGTAGCATAAGCCTATGCAAACTTAGTAAAGTGATCTACTGTTACTAAGATGTACTCCACCCCACCTTTGCTTCTCTCTAGATGCAGATAATCAAAGGAGATAAGCTCAAATGGTGCTGAGGTTGAAATATTTTGTATCGATGTTCGAGTCTTTCTGTTAGGTTTCTTTTGTTTAAGGCAACGGCAGACTTTTGTGACATAATGTTCGATTTCTTCTCTCATTTTGGGCCAAAAGAATCTCTCTCTAGCTAAAGAGATCATTCTGTCCGCTCCTAAGGGACCCATTTGCTCATGTAGTTGCTCATAGATCAGTGATTTGAGTTTTGATGGAACTACAAGCTGATTTCTGGTATTTGTCCTTCTCCGTAATATTCCATCTTTGTCAATGTAAAGGTTATTCCATTCTCTCAGAAGTCTTTTCACATCAGTTGATTCTTTGATTTTGTGTTCGTACTTAAGTCTATTGTTTTTCTGTTTGAGTGTGACTACTCTTTGTATCACTTCGTCTTCTTGTTGACTTGTTTGAATGTCTTTGACTGGTATTGGCTCGACTGGTGTTTTACATGTGTCCGCTAACTGTGTCAGTGCGTCGACATTACACGTAATGGCTGTAATCCAGTCAGTGTCACCGTTTTTGTCTGCTTCCAGTCCTTGGCTGACTGCTGTTATATCGTCTGGTTTCCATTCCTCTGTACACTCTGACATGATTTTGTCCATTTGTGTAGGTTTACGTGACAGAAAATCAGCATCTCGGTTGACAGAACCCGGTCTGTACTTGAGAGTGAAACGAAAATCTCCTAGTTCAGATACCCATCGATGCCCTACTGCATTCAGTTTGGCAGTTTTCATTACATAAGTCAGAGGGATGTTATCACTGTATACAGTGAAATGTGGGGCATGAAACAGGTAATCTCTGAATCGCTCGGTGATAGCCCACTTCAAAGCTAAAAATTCAAGCTTCCCTGAATGGAGTTTGTAATTCTTTTCAGTTGGAGTAAGAGTACGCGACCCATACCCTATGACTCTGAGTGTCCCTCCCTGCCGCTGATACAGGACAGCCCCTGGACCTTCCTCTGATGCATGTGTGTAGTACAAATGGCTTTTCAAGGTCTGGGTATGCCATTACTGGGGGGTCGGACAATGCATTGACAAGTTTTTCCAATACCTGTTGGTGTATAGCTGACCACTCTACAGGCTGAGATGGTGACAACTGTGGGGAACGGATACCTTTCTTTATGACTGGCTTGTTCTTTGTTTTTGGTTGGGATAACAGTTCATAAAGAGGTTTAGCGATTTTTGAAAAATCTGCAATGAATGATCTGTAGTACCCTAAAAACTTACTAATGACCTCACTTCTTTGACAGTTTTTGGTTTTGAGCTTGTCAATGCTAGTACAGCTTCTACTTCCTTCGGATTCATGCGATAGCCATCTTCAGCCACCCGACATAGCATACTTCCCTTTTAAAGAAGTCGCATTTCCTTGGTCTGAGTTTTATTGGAGAATTATTATTTTGTACATTCTCAACATCAGTGTTGGGAGTAACGCGTTATAAAAGTAACGAATTACAGTAATGCATTACTTTTTGCTGTAACGTAGTAATGTAAGGCATTACAGGGGAAAAAATAGTAATATTTTACTCGGTACAAATGTGACTTACGCACGTTACAATGTTTTTTTAACCTGGATTGAAGTGGTGGGTTTTTCTTCATACAAATTCGCTAAAATCACCTCGATATCAGCAGCGGTGAAACGCCGGAGATGCGCCCTCGTGGACCTTCAGGTAACCGCGGGTGAAAGGACTGACAAAGAACTCCACGCTGTTTAGACCTGGTTTAGACCTGGGTCAGTTTAGTCCTGGTTTAGTCCTGGTTCAGTCCATATACAGCGCAAAAGTTATTTTGGTGAGAGTAACTTAAAGTAATGCAATAGTAATGTAATGCCTTACATTTTAAATGCAGTAATATTGTAATGTAACGAATTACTTTGAAATGACAGTAATAGGTAATAAATAACGCATTACAGTTTCAAAGTAACTTGCCCAACAGTGCTCAACATGTTGGTCAAAGTCTTTGCTAAAAACTAGCACTTCGTCAAGATACGGTACACATACCTCGTCTCTCAAATATCCAAGACAACTCTCCATATATCGCGGAAAGGCTGCCGGGTCAAGCCGAAGGGGATCCTCAGCCATTCATAAAGACCCCATGGCGTGATGAAGGCAGTGCAGGCTCGGCTTTCTGGACTGATAAAGCCCTGATGATATGCTTTACCTTGGTTCTCGAGGATTTCCTGTATTCGCGGAATAGGATGTCGGTCAGGGTTTGTCTTTTCATTTAATTGTTTGTAATCTACACAGAGTCTGATTGTGGAGTCCTTTTTTCTCACAATTACTATTGGTGATGAATAAGATGACGTGAACTTCTGTATTCATCCTTTGCTGAGTAGACCTTGGATGTGCTTTTTCACCTCCTGGTACAAATGACGAGGGATAGCATTGTATGTTTTTGTTACTGAAACATTGTCTTTAAGATGTATTTTCATTTGTAAATCTGGAATGCATCCTGTGTCCCACTCGTCCTTTGCAAAAGCATTGCTTTCCTCTCTCAACATTTGTCTCACCTTTTCTTGTTGTTCCTTTGTCAGGTGTGAAAGATCGACTGGTGGATCCCAAAGTTCACTTGTTTCCTCTTTTTTTTTTTTTACGTTGATCTCTGTATTATTTATGCCCGTCTTCCCTAATTGTCCATTGTCACTTTGTGGCACATTTGTGATTTCACTAATGTCTTGAATAGTGTCCACATTGAATAATGATCCAAGTAGAGTTCTGTTTTGTAGTCTGATATCATTGTCTGTGTTGTTTTCAACTACAACTGTAATGACAGCTCTTTCTTCACTTGGTAGGTGTACAAGTTGTTGCTTTATTTGTAATCCCTCTGGCCATGGTGCATTTTCATTTGGTTCTAGTTAGGGGTGTCAAATTATCGCGTTAATTGCGATTAATTAATTACAGTCATATTTAGCGCGTTATGTTTTTTAATCACGTTAATCTCATTTTTAATCTCTAACTTTACAGTTTCTGTATGCGAGTTGCTTTATTATAAAATCTGTTTTTATGTGTTGTTGGGACAACACACACACAAAAAACACATTAATTATTTTTTTATTTCGCGCGCAGTAAGAGCGATGTAAACGTCAGGTTAACGTTTGCGGCGTTAGTCGCACAATGGACGAGGTCGAAAAGCCAGTAGAACAGAGTCAGCAGTGCACAGGTAAAAACACATTCGTGTCTTGGAAATGATTCTCCCGACGTGAAATATAAAAGAAAATAACAAATATAAAATCGCCTACAACTTAAATGTCACTGGTGAAAACAACCTGCATAGACTCATGATGTCTGCACTACTGTCCTATAGTGACCTGCCACATGAGGGGACACGCACACAAACACACACACACACACACACACACACACACACACACACACACACACACACACACACACACACACACACACACACAAACACACACCTTCATCATCGTCATTAACCTGAGAACACGCGGACCACGTTTCTTTCCGTAGTTTCTGCGCGGACACCGACGTGCTCCCGTGCGCCGCGTACGTTTTCTCGCGTACGCTGCGTAAACCGCGCTTCCTCCTGTGCGCCTCTAAACCAGAACTAACACCAAGACTAAAACCGGGACTAACCCAGTCCAGGACTAAACCAGGTCTAAACCAGGACTAAAACCAGTGATGTCATATATAAAGCATTTCTCTATCAATAATATTTTTAATATGGTTAAGGAAAGACTGGACTTTTTATTGTCTTTAAGTAGACAAAAGTTATTATGTTCAGATTTCCTCGTCTTTGCTACTTTACAGCAAACAGTTTCTTATTCATGGAGACTTGGGCTCAACAGTCAATTTGGAGAGATTTGTTAAACAATAAATTACTTTATAAAGTCACTTTTTTTTGTTCTATATCAGTCTTTTGATCTGCCACAATAATGTAATAATGAATTTAAATGAAAATACCTCAACTTGAAGGCTTTTCAAGCATTTTTTAGGTGAGATTAAAAAGAGATTAATTAATTACAGATCATAATTAATTAATCTCTCAATTTTTTTAATCGCATGACAGCACTAGTTCTAGTATTGTATACTGTCCTTACAACACATTTTTATTGATTTTGCCACAGATTACTTTGAACATTTGACGCTTTGGAATGACAACATAATTTCTTCCTAGTCTGGCTTTCTGCTGTACTTTTATCTTTGCTGAGCACAGAGAATACTGCTTTTGCCTTTTTGTAACCTACATCTAGCGCTGACTCAAGACTGTGTAGGAACTTGTTTGAGTGAGATCTATCTGTTGACATATTAGTCTTTGCTATTTCCTCAATAACGTTGAACCCAATGATTGGCTTATTGAGTGGCTGAGTGCTAACCAGAAATGGCACTAACAGTTCACTATCTTTGTTTTCTGGGAGCATGAACTGCACTCCTATCCAACCCTCATAAGGTATTTGAGTCCCATTTGCAGCAGACAGATCTAATATACCTTCATCAAGAAGTTCTTTTACTGGACGGATTTCAGCATTGGTTAAGTGACTCTGTTTCCAATCAAGATCAACAATAGACGCTTGAGAACCTGTGTCCCACAGAGCAGTGGCTGGGACACCACCGATGTAGCACTGTACCAGACTTTTGCTACCGATCAGCTTTGCTGTCTTTTCCCGTTTCTTTGACAAGGGCACATCTTTTTGTAAATGCATAATGTCCTTAAGATTTGTATTGTTCACTTCTATTTTGCAAACACTACCAGATGTGTCTTTCTTTTTCCTACAGCCAATAGCCCAATGGTCACTACTCCCACACTTATAGCAATGTGTGCACTTGCCTTCAGGATTTGACTGTTCACATTTGCGACACTTTCTGGGGCCCTTTTTGACATTGCATTTGAAGTTTTGCTTTGGTTTGACACTTTTATCATAAGTCTTTGCTTTTGTCTGAGTCAAGCTCGCTATTTGTGTTGTCAGGTTTTGTATTGCTTCACAAATAACTTTGTTATTCTCATCAAGTTTTTCTACAATGGGGTTTGGTTTGACTATTTGTGTTTTAATCTTGTTTGAACCAACCGTTCCACTTTTGTGTCCATCTTCTTGCACTGAAGCCACTTTGATGTTCTTTTGTCTGGTGAAGGATGACAGCTTGCTCCTTCTTTCCTGTTCAACACTGTAGGCGGCGCTCATCATCTCCAAAAGCACCTCATCCTCTACAGAAGCATCCTGCAAATAAGGCTTTACATCTGCTCTGACAGCATCATCTTGTAAACCAGTCAGTATTGTCTGCAAGAACTGGGTTTGCACAAGCTCAGGATTATACTTCAGTCCTACCTTGGCTCTTTCTGATGCAAACAACACTTTTTGTCTGAGGTCCATGGCACGTATGAGAAACTGTACTGGGGTTTCTTTGGGCTCTTGTACTGCTCTGGTTAATGCATGATAGAGTTCAGTTGCATCTTTTTCTATGAAATGTGTCCTAAGCACTTGCCTTAAGGAATGTAATGTTAGCTCTGTTCTTCTTTCCAAATAGCTCTTTAATTTGACATCGGGTGCAATAGCTTGGATCACTGCTTCAACAATCTCACCTTCATCATAACCTTTTTTCAATCCACGTTTGATTTGTCTTTCAAGGCATGTGAAGTTCAGCTTATCCTTTTGTCCAGCTTCTCCAATTTGTCCTACAATTCTGAAATCTTTTCTGTAGACTGGATGCACGCTTGGTTGATCTCTTATTTGTGATGTATCTCGGTCAGAACTTGCAATGCTGTTGGCTCTTTGTGGTGATAAAGGCGTAATACCACTTTGTGTCAGTAGAGGGCGCTGCAAGACCACTTGTTGCGGCTGAACTGTGTCCCTTTGCGCTGGCGCAGCGCTTGTATCACTGTCAGCTGTCTGTTTATTTTGCAAGATATCAATTAAGTCACTGGTCCCCAGAAGCACGGACAATCCACCATCCTCTAAAGATGTAACATCATGGCCTTCTAAATAGTTGAGCATTTGTCTCCTTATTAACCGACATGACGACTGTGCCTCTTCACTCAGCTGCAGCTTAAGCTCTTCACTTAACTTTCTCAGCTCGTCTAGTGACAGAGTAACAAGCTTCTTCTCAATGTCCGCCAATGACGATTCCCACACACTGTCCATGTTGCTCGGCCTCTTGATTGTTCACAACTTCACTGGGTAAGTCCGTAGTTTTTATTCTTTAACTTGCTGCGTTTTTCCGATGAACTTTGGCTTAGCTTCTGCTAATTGCAATGACGAACTTTTTCTTGTCCTCTCGCTTTGCTGGACCATGCCGTCTTTTCTTCATCAAAAAAAAAAAAAACACACCAAAAAACACGCTTTCCTTGGCAGAAAACTTACTTGAACCTGGCGGAAACACCAAGATTTATGTTGCACCCCCGAAATGAACGACAAGACTCGCGTTCATTTTAGCTTTTGGGCAAATTTAATTTTAGATTTCGGTTCATGTGTTTAAGAAGTATGTTTCGTTTTTCTGCCTCTTTTTTACAACAACGAAGAAGAAAAATGCTTTTCCCATAAGTCTTTTAGTCTCACATTCTTAAAGTAACAGTACAGTAAATACCCCGTTATTATATAGGTACAATGAAATCATAGAATAAATAATATTATCAATGAAGTATGTATTCATATCAAATGAAAATTATTTTATCTATTTAAATGAAACATTAATTTAGTCTTATGGATTTTATAACAGAAATATTGCGTTTTAATTTTCAGGGCACTACATCTTTCTTCATGCTTAATTGAGGCTAATAAAAGTGTAGTTATTATAAAGTGTTATCCATCTTATTAAGATGAGGCCATAGTCACGAACAGTGTGTGTCAGACAGGCTCATCTCTGCTCCATGTCTCTGGTTGTATGATTGACAGCTGAATAGACGCTGTGGTGATGCGATCATCCTGGAGGGTCTGGTTTCCCTCTGTCTGTTGCTGCTACGTGATAGCCCGAGTTTTATTCCTCAGCCTTAGTCTGCAGACATGTCGAGTCCCCTGCCAAGCCGTAAGAGCTGTGAGGAGCACCAAATGAAATGTTGCCTCGCTATCTACAAGACAAGTTCAACTGGGGTTGAACGGACATCATGTAGGTCTTTTACTCACTGAAAATGGACTTCTAAATTGCCACAGCTGAAATGCCCAATATTTTTAGTTTTTGTTAATCTGCTTAATATGATTCAGCTAATGTGCTTGGTGCTGCTGCTTCCTAAAGGTGAGACAAACTACTTAAAGACTTTTGAACAGTATTTCTCTTTAGGCTATGCTGTAATAGTAAAATAAATAGTAACTACTCATGACAAGAAATATACCTGTGTTCAAGGATTTCTATATGTTAGTCTTGTGATATTCATGGATTTCAGATTATCTGATCCTTTCCCCATTAAAACATATATTTAGTTTTAAATTATTAATCTCTATGGCAAATGTCACAGTTTTACATAATTCTAAAACCCATGTTCATACCGACAGAAATAATACTCACAGTTTTTAACACATGCATTTAAATGTCTACATTTTTTCTTGCAGCTGTTTATTCAGCTCAGGGGCAGTATGCACAGAAACTTCTAAATGACTTGATGGAGAATTATACCAGTGCCTTGCGACCAGTGGAAGACACAGACAGCGCTCTCAATGTTACTTTACTTATCACTCTCTCTCAGATTAAGGACATGGTAAGGGTTAACATATATGCATTTAAAATAAGAGTTTATTTATAATTGTATTTATCACAGAGTAATATTACCATTTGAAATACTGTTTGTATGCACTTGTGTTGCTGTCTACCTGGCTTATGATACTGTGTGTATGAATGACAGCTGGACCTCCCACTGGGCCTACTGTTACTGCTAAAGATCAGGTTCCCGTTCAGGTTCAGTGCTGTGTCAGCCCCCAATGAAATACTGGGTCTCAGGGGACATAGTGGAAGAAGCTTGGAGAATATTTATTTACTCAGTGTAAAGCATGCTGGGGTTGATGTCACTGTGTCAGGAGAGTTTGATAAAGGCCTTAACAAATTGATCTGCATGTTTTTTATTGTCTGTCAGTAACTTTATAATACTCAAGAGCTTTTTTCAATGCATGAGTGAAGCTGGCACTGAAAACCAGTGATGGAAGGTAACAAAGTAAAAAGTATAAGTTCAGTACTTAAGTACAATTTTAGGTATCTGCTCTTTACTTAAGTACATTAAGTACATTTGCAGTGGATACTGTAAAATTTACTTAATGTACTTTTTACTACTACATTTGCGAGCAGGTGTCTGTACTTCCTACTCCACTACATTTTAGCGCTGGACTGAAAAGTAAAAAGTACTTTTCTTTATGGTTTGAGACCTGCTGAGAGGCTGAAACAGATTTTTAGCACATTTAATTTGAGTTAACGTCCCAACTTTGTGCAAATCAAATACATAATAATACACAAAACATTAAGTCAAATTAAGACATCACTTGAAAAACTTAAAATAACTATATCTGATACTTTAATTGTTATAACATATACAGTAATACAATTAAAATTTCAAATCATTAAAATGACAAAAATAGCTAAATAACTGTGTTGAATTAACTGCAGAATAAAATAGATCTAGGCAATATACAGGAGGTTGCAGGGTAAAGAGAAACAGTGCAAAAATGGAATAGTGATTTGACATACACAAAGAGACTAAAAGATGCTTTGAACTAATTTAAGATTTTGTCATTTAGGATGAACGAAACCAGGTGCTGATTGCCTACTTGTGGATTCGACAGGTGTGGCACGATGCATACTTAAAGTGGAACAAAGATGACTACGATGGACTAGACATCATTCAGATCCCCAGCAGCTTAGTGTGGAGGCCTGACCTTGTCCTCTATAACAAGTATGCCCGTATGTCACATATACACACCATAAACAACAAGAACTATAATACCTATTGTTTGCTTAATTTAAGATAAAACAAAATAATAATTTCTTACAAAAGGTATACAAAATAAACATCTCCATACAGGGCATCACTGGGAAATCATAAGGTAATCGCATAACTGCAAAAACATGTTCAGTAACAAATACAATGGTAATATTATTCATAACAAAATGGTCATTAGTTTAACATTATTGTATGATCTGGCTTAATTTTCCTGCAGGGCTGACGACGACTTCTCTGGACCAATGGACACTAATGTTAAACTGAGGTACAATGGTGAAATCACATGGGACGCTCCAGTCATCACAAAGAGCTCCTGTGTGGTGGATGTCTCCTATTTTCCATTTGACAGTCAGCAGTGTAACCTCACCTTTGGCTCCTGGACCTACAATGGTAACCAGGTATGGCCATGTGGCACTAAGCTGTATTTACATAGTATTACATGTCTGATCATGTACTGTATGCAGTATATACATTACATTATACTATGCAAATGGCTGGATTAAAATGAGTTGCACCCTTTGTATGCTACCAACTCTATTCGCTTTAGTCTCCCCTGTAGTCATAAGGGGTTTCTATAGAGATGTTATTGGTAAATTTAACCTATCTATCTTGCACATGTATTCAATTTCAGTTTTTACTCCTTAGAAATACCTTGAAAAACATTTATTCAATGTGACTGGGGTCACCTCTCTACATATCTGTCTTATATGTTATATATCTGATAGTGTCACCTGCTTTTTTGCAAAGCATAGAACACTTTGCTGGACATAAGCAGGTTATGGACTCTCTACTAGAAAAGTTACAGAGTGAAACTATGAAAATCTTTACGTATTATTAGACTTTACTATTATCATTAACCACTGAGTCTGACAGTTTCTTGGAAGTTGTGCCTTATTTTTCCATGTCCTGTTTAAATTTTGCAGGTTGACATAACTATGGGGAATAACAGTGGAGACCTGTCAGACTTTGTGGAGAATGTTGAATGGAAACTTTTGGGAATGCCTGCCTCTAAGAATGTAATAATGTATGGCTGCTGTCCCGACCCGTACCCGGACATCACCTACACTGTCCAGTTGCAGCGCCGCTCCTCCTTCTACATCTTCAACCTGCTCCTGCCATGTTTCCTTATCTCCTTCCTGGCTCCTCTGGGCTTTTACCTGCCCGCAGACTCTGGGGAAAAGGTCTCTCTGGGCGTCACCGTTCTCCTGGCTCTCACAGTGTTTCAGCTCATGGTGGCTGAGAGCATGCCCCCATCAGAGAGTGTGCCGCTAATCGGTAATTTTCATAAAGGGCGCTGTGGGATCAATTTACTGAGCAATATTGACTGAGCCACTGTCATAAATGCATTAAATAGCAACTGCTGTAGTTAACAGAAGAATTTTATAAGAATAGGAGCGGCACATTTTGTTGGGTACTGCTTGGCAAATCCAGAATGATATTTCTCTGTATTGAAGAAGAGTATATTTTGGATCCCAAGCAAGTTAGGGTATGGTTCATGAGCAAAATTGTATTATAACTCTATGTTGACATTTAGTCTTGCTCTTGAACAATTTAACAATTTTGATACAGTTTCATACAAGTTTGTTGGGTAGTGAGCAGAGAAGTAATATCCAGCACGCTAATACTTTGATTTCTGTAATGCACAATAGCCTCAAAGTGATGATCTATTGGAGTAAGTCTTTGTAACATTTCTCCTGAACTGGTTGTTCCTCCCAGGAAGTCATGACAATCTATATTACAGTTTTATAATCTGTTGTTTGAAATATTTTATTTGTCTAACATTGTATAACATTTGTGTGTTAAACAGGAAAGTACTACATTGCCACTATGACCATGATCACAGCCTCCACAGCCCTCACCATCTTCATCATGAACATACATTTCTGTGGCGCCGAAGCCAAGCCTGTACCTCACTGGGCCAAGGTCCTGATCATTGACTACATGTCCAAAATCTTCTTTGTTTACGAGGTGGGTGAGAACTGTGCATCACCCTCTTCAACATCCCAGAACTCCCATTTCTCCCAGGACGACATAACTCACCTGAACCATAGCTCCCACAGCCAATCCAATGGGAAACCAGGGAACTGTAGTAAGCAGGAAGAACAGCATGGCCGCAGATATCCCCGCCCACAGACCCCCAAACCACAACACCATCCCAGAATAAAAGCACAACACCACATCACCAGAGACGAGAGGGACTTTCAACCAGGGAAAGTTGGCAACCACAATGGTAAAATCCTGACTGATGGCTGCTGTAAAGAAGACCGAAAGTTCCCCTGCTACATGGAGGATGAAAAGTTACACTTCTATGATGACGAGAAAAAGCATCCTTCAGTAACTTTCGGTCCATGTGTGTTTTGCACTCATGCCAGTGGATTTGCTGGCTCAGATACCAAACTTGTGCGTAATGTGGAGTATATTGCCAACTGCTTTCGAGAGCAGAAGGCCACATGCGCCAAAGTTGCTGAGTGGAAGAAGATTGCTAAAGTCATGGACCGCTTTTTCATGTGGATTTTCTTTGTCATGGTTTTTCTCATGAGTATTCTCATCATGGGTAAGGCTCCCTGATTCAGCTGTGAGTATGCATGACTATTCAAAAGTGGTGCTTTGAAAGTTTACTTAAGCAATGCACATTTTGCCCTTTTGTTGCTGAATTCAGACTCCATTTCATTAGCTTTTCCTTTGCCAGGGTTGTGTTTACAATCCACTGAACCTCTAAGCATGATTGGTTGCACACTTCACATCACTAGGGTAACTGGGATAACAATCATTTTAAATTCATTTTCCATATTATTACCCAGACTAACCCTGTTTCAATGAGTGATTACAATGTAATTGCCATATTCTGTCATTGCTTTGAAATACTCTGATGTTTCCATTCCATTACCAAAGGTTTACTCTGCATTAAAGTAAAGTGTCACCGTAATAAGAGTATTGTGTAGTGTACTACAAATGTCGTTCTTGACCCTTTGGGGACCAATTGGCTCAAACCACTGAGGAAAATAAGGCTACATAAAATTATACTCTCATACTTGAGCTGAATTTAACAAAGTCCTATTTGTAAAAGTTCAGCAATCTTTTCCTTGTCCCCTGCCCTCTGAATACATGTAACAGGACCTACTGTCAAGTTGAATTATGACCATGTCTTATTCACCACTCTGAAATTAGATGCCCAGCACTGCACAGCCCGGATCTTCCGAATCATTTTCTGTTTAAAATGATGGAATGAATAGTTAATGAGCTGCTTTTTTGTTGCAGAGTGGAGACAGTGAGGATGTAAGCTAATATGGACTATTAATAATGCACAGGGGCTTGTTCAGACTGCCCCTGGCTATGCCCTGAAAAGTAAGTGAATGAGTTTGTGTTGTGTGGTGTGACCCTGTGCACTGTACATGTGTGCATAACCTCATGGGAGAAATATTAGGAGGATAATTGTGTATGTGTTAAATGGTGGCCTAACAAGCATTCAACAAATTATGCGTAATGGATTTTTGTTAAGGTAAATGTTTATTGTGCTGTATGGACATTTATTTGAGAGGGTTAATAAAGTAAGACGTAAGACAATCACAATTGAAAGCTTGAGAGATCTGCGCAGTATCTTTGCTGTTCCTAGTAGTGCACTTTTCAGAATTAAGATGTCTGATGTTTTTCCTGGGATCAGCTGTAACCACTCCAAACTCTAGTTTTGGGGGTTACAGCCCTGCGTACTCCAATCACCTCTGATGCCTTCACCTTCAAGGCCTTCTCTAGCTCTTCCTTGAGCCCCTGGTATTTCTGTAGTTTCTTGTGTTACTTTTTCCTGATATTACCATTGCTTGGTAATGCAATGCCAACCATCACGGCTTTGTTCTGTTGCCTATCCAACACTATGTCTGATTGGTTCGCCATCACTATTCTGTTGGTGTGTATCTGGAAGTCCTGCAGGATCTTGGCTCGGTCATTCCCCACAACTTTTGGGGGTGTTTCCCACCTTGAACTTGGGGTCTCCAGCCTGTATTCCGCACAGTGCATCTTACACCCTGTGCAGGAGCCTCTTTGTATATATATATATATATATATATATATAGTTTTTGAGAGGGTGTTTCGTATATTTTGTCTTTTCTTGCCTTTTCTGTTGGCTAAGCCTGCCTTTTTACTCTGCACTCTCCTACATTTATCCAACAGTAGAGGGTGCTCCTTACCAAAGTTGTTTTGGTTGTTCAATAGATCTGTGTGCAGCAGGATAACGTTGGACCATGGAGATTGATTTCACCATCCATAGCCTACAACTATCCATATTTACAAAGATGTGGTTTGTGCTGTAAAATGCAAAAGAAAATGAGATAAATAATTTTATTTAATACAAAAATAGCATTCTGTTGTTTGAATCTTAAATCACACTATAAGCTAATTAATATTTAGTTTCTTTTTCAAATTCCAGTTAAGAACACATAACTGCTCAAACACTCATGGAAGATGGCTATAATCCAAAATTTGGTCCACACCTTGCTAAAATGTGATATATTAACATAAATGTAAGCATGTGTCCCTGAACAGGACACAGTTAAAATGCTGATGTCTGATGGAGAACAGAACAGGCGGACACTGAGGCTGTTACCATGGTGATACAGTAAAGCAGGCGTTCCGGGAATAGGACGGACTTTTTCAAAGTTTGCGTCTGACACAAATTAACAACTGCGCAGTTTTCTGTCTTTTTCTCCCGGGCATAAAAACAGTCCTGTGTGGTTAGCAACTACTTCAACAACTCTGGGAACAGACTCGAGGAGGGAAGTTCACTGCGTCTCACGTCCATGGACTTCTCATGATGGGCCAAGTTTAAAAGAAAACATCGCATTAAGCGGACCAGAAGAATTAGAAATAAATACACTGAAAAATCAAATAGGCTCTACAAGTGGGAGGTAAGTCTGCTTTGTTTCAAGTTAGTAGCCTGTGTTGTGAAAGTGGATAATTTCAGGTGTCCTATGGCCAACATGTTAAATGTTGATTTTAGCTTGATATTTAGCTATATAGCTATATTAGTCTACATTTTTATTCTTTAGATATGTTTAGTTGATACAAATTTTAACGTGTGTGTGCTGTGGGAGTCTGTAACATATTTTTTTCTATCATTGCCATTTAAAATGTGCACTATTTAACTTTTCTGCTGAAGGGTCCACCACCTACTTATCTCCATGGAGATGTTATTGCTTTTCCTAAAATGTTACACCGAATGGCATTCAGTTTAGATATCTCCATAAAGACATGCGTGTCCATGAGGTTGAGTTATAGGTCAGGTCTGTAGAGAGGCGAGCCTGTTCATAGTACGGAGGCATTATTTTTTTATGCATTTTTAACAATTAAACAATCTGTAACTGAATAAATACTGTACAGTATGTACAAGTTATATTATACTCTGGTACAGGCAAAGCAATAACATCTAGATGGAGACAAGCAGATGGTGTACCCTCCACCAGAGAAGTTAGATAATGCTCCTTTAATACAACCTATTACAGCTCTAAATCAATTAACGTTAACTTGCCAATTGACTTGGCTTCTATTGATAAAACACATAAAAGCATGAAACTTTGTGTTACAGCTGAGATGGAGGACTCTGAACACCTGGAGCACACCGCCGATGGCCAAACTCAAGAGGGCTTCTCTGACAGAGTCTACCTTCTGGCATCAGTCATCTTCCAGAACAATTACCTGGAGAAGCCAGCTGCTCAAACACTGGTGAATTATGGCAAGAAAAGGACTCTCTCTCTGCCTGAGGTCACTGATGGTGAGATGCAGCGAGCAGCCTACGAACTGGCTTTTAATTCTCTCAAATGTAAGTAGTACCATTCAAGATCATGTCAAAATCAATACTTTGTTATGGTCTCCCAGAAAATTATATATATTTTTTGCCATATCACCCCCCCCTTAATTTCACATACATGAAATAACATCTCTACTGTATAGTGGCACGCATATTCACACCAGAAAGGTTATATAGTGCACCTTTCAGTTAGTTATAGTCATTTTACTCCACATTATCAAACAACCATTTAAGGTGTTTGAGAGCAAGGGCCCACCTTGTGAAAGTTAATTGACAGGGCAAATTGAAAAAAGATAAATAGGGGAAGGACAAGTGGAGTAGAGCGAGCTGCTCAGGTGATCAAGGGAACTGTGTGTGATGCTACAAATCAATCAGCCCCACGATCTCTTATCTGTGAGCAGGGTGCTGTATGGGTGGCTCAAGTCTCCGGGGTGTGTAATCGCTGTGGTGATAAGCGAAGAAGGAGGTTAGCCGAGTCTTGATGCAGAAAGCTGTCTGGCATCGATTTAATGTGTTCCTGCGATGGAGAGGTCAGGTAGCAGGAACAGTCCCGTTGGCATGAGTGATTCTGTTCCCCAACATCAATCCTCTGAGCCTGTATAAGCCTCTGGCCAATACATGCTCCTCAATTAATGCAGGACACCTCCAAATATCCATCAGCTCAACTTCCTCTCCTCTGCTGCAGTGACCTGGGTTATGGCCATACAGGGTACATAGAGGAAGGACTTCTTTTGCTCAAGATAACGTCAACAGACTGACGTAGATGATGAACATCTCAGAGAGATTTTTACATTTATATGATATATGTGTGTGTGTGTGTGTGTGTGTGTGTAGGTATGTATGTATGTATATATGTATATATAAAATTTTGCATAAATTGATTTATCTGTGTCCCACATAAACATTTCCAGACCCTCACTTCACACACGGTAACACTGACACTGCTCTGGAGTGACTGATCCCAAATCAAGCTGAGGTCAGTCATTCACCTAAAGCAGAAATGCTTCAGCAGCAAGAAATGCACCAAGTAAATGCCACTGAGCTGTGTTATTGATCCTGTGATTTTCACTCTTATCTGCTCCCAGCAAAAAAGTCCCTCTCCGAGCTCTGTAGTGGCGTCTGAGGACAAAAACTGGTCATTAATACAAACAGAATTTCTTGAAAACCTCTTTGCTGGAAATAAATGCTACAGTACCACAAAATAGTTCCACTGCCTCCACCTCTTCCTGTATTTTTGCTCTTAACATTTTTGAAAGGGTATTCTTTGCCCTCTCTCCGAATTTTTTTTTTTATTACTGAGTGATTGTCATTCGGATCACTGGCCTCCAGAGAATTTATGCTGCCAAGGTTTCAAATGGTGTCATGTGCTTTCCTCACCCTCTGAACACAAAGTACTCAATGGTTTTGTCAGGGTTTCTTTTTACTGTATCTCTTCTTTTTGGCTTAATGTTGGAGTCATACTTATTCATTTGATTTGACATAGATTTATTTTTCTTTTTGGCAAATGACACAATTTTGGACTTTGCCATAAGTTGACCTTTTTTGGCTTGATATGTGACAGATGTTTTGACACTAAATAATACATTTTAGTTCCTTTCTTGATATTCAAGGTCACCTTACAACAATAAACACGCACAAAAGAACATTAACATAAAAATGTTGAAGTTCCTATATTACGTAAAATTGACTCTTGTGAGCTTGAAGTTATATAATGTTGTTACCTCCTCAAAACCATACCCAGAATTGTGTTTTATTTCATTCACACATGTTTTAGTAACCATGCATTATTAATCTGTCTACATCTCCAAAGCTCAAAATGCTCTGTTCCACCTTGTGATGTCATGAAGTGTTTTTTTTTTTTTTTTTTCCCCACAAGTTCACAGCTACCTTTACCTTTTATGACACATGCAATTTTGAGACACTTTTTTCTGTTTTCTTGTATGCAAGTACTTCAGTCTGTTTGGCTGTCCAACATGAGATGAATATGCATTTAGTAGGCCTGACACAATTTGAAAACATTTTGAAGCACAATATATACATAAAGAAATATTGTGTTAAACAATAATATTGAAGCTAATTTATACCACTTACACAAAGCAGGATAATTCTAGTAAACCAGTTTTTAAATTGACCGTATCTTTAAAAGGCCTGAGCTGCAACAAATAAATAACAGAAGGAACCAATAATTAGCCATAGAAGTTCTTAATTTAAACCTCTACACCTCAAATATTACCTTAATACATCAAAATGTCAAGAATTTACCTGTTATTGTAAAGATAAATATTGAGCTTCAAAATATATTGTTCCAGCTTTCATGTATTGAATGATAAGTCAATATAGTCATTATCATGACAGGCGTAGCATTTAGTTAGAGTGAGGTGGAATATTCAGAGATAGGAACTTGGCTGAGACGGGCATTTGTTTAACCACATTCACCATCGCTCATTGCTCTCTGCAGTGCCCAAAACACATAATCAGCAAACGCAAACACTACCTCACCTCACTTTAAAAAAAAACAAAAAAAACTATAACAATGAAATAAAAGTATTCTCTGCAATATATAACACTATATCTAACTCATAGCACTGTCTTCAGTTAGCAATAATGCAGTAATATTTTTTGTTCAAGCCAGCCTGCTTTGGGTGATTTATAGCATGTAAAGGCTGTGACCTCTATAGGCCTCCAATGTGGTTTGCACTGCACTGCGTTTGTTCTCTGAATGGTTATCTCCCATGGGATTATCTTTAAGGCTGGCTGCAGTAATAACTACCATAGCACACATTACATTACTCCCCAAACTATACACCAGATTACCTGATATTTATGCTCACATCTTGATAAGCCCTAATGTTGGAATAATGCAGGATGTTTTACTTGCTTAAATGCATTCAAAGGTCCCAGTTGGCAGAGATCCCAGGGGTGTGATAAGGGACCTCTAGAGGAAGCGGCTTGTAGCTATGAAAATAACTACATGCCATATATACACTGGGTAATGTTTTGAACATTTTTTTAATCCTCATTTATCCTACTTTTAAAAAGCTAAAACACAATAGCTGGCTGCAATACAACAAATACTCTGCCCTTTTGAGTGCAATTTTTTTTATTCCTTCTCATAGAACAATGTATTTTTTCCAGGCTGTATTTTTCTTGACAAGAACAGAGGAACAAAGGACAGGGGGTAGTCTAGGACAGTTATCTATTTGCTTGTATCCTGTGAATGTTGGTCGATCTGCCTGTCCTTTTAATGATCAATGACGTTTCAATTCCTAATTTACAGGTGGTTAAATCTTGGCTGTCAAATCCAGAATGATCTTTTTCTGTATTTTTTATACAGAGAGGAATATTAGTCTGGGCCCCACTCTCTCTGTTGCGCCTCGAGCCAGAACCAAACATGATCGTGCAATCAGATTAGTTTTTTTCAGTGACACGTGAAATGAGGGAGCTCATCATTTACAAACAAGATCAAGTCTAGTGCTTTGCTCATTGATTCTGTAGAAATCTACAATTTTTTTTTTCTTTTCTTTTTTCCTTGTATGCAGCCGTAATGGTTTTGATAGGGATGGACCATGTGTGTCCCTGATTGCCCCAATCCACCTGTCAATCACGCCCGTCTGAATTTGAGGAGTAAAGTATTGGAGAAGTGTGTTTACTGGATCCAAGAGCAACAATTTTGTCAAGCCCTATGAAGCGAATGCTGTTGTGATTTTGGGCTATACAAAAATAAACTGAATTGAAATTGAATTGTGAAACTGGTGTGATAACCTTAACATTTTACATTATTAGTTTGTGTTAGTGATAACTTACCTGAATTTCTTTCTTTCTTTTTCTGTGCAGATCAAGAGCTACTAGAAAGCATCATCCTTGACAGTACTTTTTACCTTTCACAGCCACTCGTACGTATGTTTTTTTGTATAAAATCTCATCAAAATCAAGTCTTTATTTTTAGAGTTTTGCCATTAACACTGAAACATCTGTGTAGTTTACTGTGTCACACTTATACACAGACTTGTATTGATTCTGTGTTTTGAGTGCAGTAGCTGAAGCACTTTTCATTCATCTTTTCATCTTTTACCTTGTGCTGTGATGCTGCCTGTAATTTCCATTTATATTTCTGGTGTGTCTTTATTCTACTCTTCTAATCAGTATCTGTTATATTGATGCTCTGCTCTGATACATTTTATCAAGTCACAAAGCTCCCTGTCTCCTTTCTAGTCCTTTTCCTAATCAATGACAATCACTCCCTTTGGATCTACACGTCTAAATGCACGATGTGGCAGAACGGGCTTAACTCTGTCTCTTTTATTGCTTTTCTCAAACAAAACAGGTCATTAATTAGTCATAAAACCAAGGGTTTGAATGCCCCGAGTCAGTAGTTTGTTACTGATCTCTGAGCCTACCTCACATAAGACCAATTACAAGCTAAATGGTAAGAGTATGAGGCTTTAAATGAGCTCTCAATAAAATAATTTGTTTTATGGGATGATACTGACACAAACAATTTTTTTTTTTTTTTTTTTGATTTTCCCAATAACAATAATTAAATTATTATTTTACAACCCAACATGTGTCTCTTAGTGCCTTGGCCGAGTAAATTCTGAGTTTGACTCCGTTTCAGGCATTTCTGTGCAGTGTTTGCATGTTTCTCTCTGTGTGTGGTTTCTAACAGGTCCTTCGTTTGGCCCATTAATTCAAAACCTCACAGTATTAATCCTGGAGACAGGCAAATGATCAGTGAATGAATTTCCCTCTAATAAAGGATAACTGTAGCCAGGCTGGTGCCACCTGGTGCCTGCGCTCAATTTCATTTGTCTCCAGCAACTAGGTCAGCAATCAAAATACAACAGACGTATTGTACCCAGAAGTGCAAGTGCAAGTTCGGGCACCAGCCAATCAGCAAAGAGCCATATTTTGAGTCTTGTCAACGAGTCCCAAGATCGAGGATTTAAAATCAGAATAAAGAGAATGTTTGGTGAATTTCATCAAGGGGAAAGACGTTATTGCCCTCCTTCCTACGGGATTAGGGAAAAGCTTAATATACCAGTTAGCCCTGTTAGCGGCACATTACACACGTGACAAAAATGATAAAAAGTACCCGCATAGCGTTGGGCAAACGAATTCTAACACTGCGAGGTCAGATGGTTTCTACGAAGTGAAACCAGCTGATGAATCAGGCTAGGATAACTGTGTTATGTGTTTCAATTAGTAAAATGAACTGCACAAGTGCAGAAATATTACCTTTACCCTAGTTTGAAGTTTATTCTTTTACAGCTTTTGAGTATTCGCCCACATGTGTGTCTAATTTACTGGCAGAGACAGTGAAATGGCTGAGTGAGATTTTGCAGTGAAACTCGGAGTCTGTCTATGTCAGTGCTTCTGGCAAATGTTTACATTAACTGTGAAATGTGTGTAGTACAGTGGCGCACACGTGTCACAACTGTTGTCCTTGTGAGTTACAGCCCGGGGTAAAATGAATCGGTCGCACAATGTGTTGGTGGCAGGTCGTTACTCTGCATCCTTCAGACAATAAAGCCCAAGCACAATGAGAGTCTTTAGAAGCCCGTCTCACCTCCTTTTACACCAATGGCATCTATAAAATTCAACCTTGACAGTGAGGGGGGTAGTGAAGGGGAAAGGTATGGGCTAGAAAGATACCTGTAGGTCCTTAAAATGAACGTAAAATGACTACGTTAGTCTGAAATGATTAATCGGAATAATTGTCACCAGTCGACTAAAGTAATCATAGTATCATAGTATCATTGTATCATTGTTATCTGGACTACACAGATTCACATGCCAAAAGACAATGGTGTGATTAAAAAAAAAAAAAAGTCTAAAGTCAAAAGAGTTCTTATTTGTGTCAATAATTTAATAATAATGATTAAATTGTATCTGTAAATATAAGTTACATTTAAGTATTATAAGTGAATATAAGTTACAAAAAATTGTTGCTGACTAGTCAACTTCTGTAATAATCTTTAGCTGAAGCCCTAATGCCAAGATTTCATTAGATGGCACTGAAGTTGAAGTAACTACAGTACTGTTAAAGATTATTTAATAGTGAGTCCAGTCTCTAAGGTGACCTGCTGGTATGTTTACAGTAGCCCAATAACCCACCCCTGGATTCTGTTGCCACACTACAGAGTGGTCAGAAATCTTCTACAAATGTTTTTTTTTACATCTTCTTACTTAGGTGGTGGGTGATTTTTTTCTTTGATATTAAACAAGTTAGACTATTAATTCAATTTGATTTTGTCATCATTTATTTCCTGGACATATTCTTTCAACATTAATGTCCTAAGCATAAGCAACAAAGACTTCAAATCATTGCAAAAACTGTAAAATAGCTTTATGAACTATCCTCCAAATAACATGCTTTTACTGACAGGACTTTATTGTAGACCCTTGGATATCACTGACAATTAGCACTGACATGACCATGAGATAAATTCACAATTTCCACATGAGCTGTAATGTCAAGTTTCTTAAATATGTTTTGAAAGTTTGTGTAGTATTCATCTTTCTGCCCCATTTGCCAAATAAGCTGAGCTGTTGATGCTTTGCGCCCCCATCTGCTTCTAATGTGGCTGCTGCCCTGCTGTCCTTAGAAAGCAGAGAAAAACTGGTTAAATCTGGAATTTACTAATAACAGATTTTTTTTTTTTTATCTAGCCAGATGATCAGATGAGCCTTGCTGTTGTCATGCTCTTCGACTTTCAAGACCGAAAGTTTATCCCTCGTAAATGTGAGAATACTGATGAGGATGTAAAAGAAGTGAGAGAAGTGGAGCTCCACCTCCTCAGGTGCATTATCTAGTGAATAGTTAAATTAATTTCATTTAATTTTTTCTTTGGTAATGGATTGTATTAACGGATAGACAAAGTGAGAAAAACATGATAATATAACATAACCCATTTCACACCAGAAAGTAGGAGGAAGAAGTCTTATTAAACACCTTCGCCATTCTCTTCAGAATAAACGGCACAAACATAGAATCAGAACAAGTTTTATTATTTTGTCAGTGAACAAATTTACAAACTAGAATCTGGCTTTGGCATTATGGAGCAACATAAAAACATAAAGTAAAGAATGTATATATAGACAATATAAACTTTGAATATGAAGATCAATTTGTTGAGTTCCATTCGTATAGTCAATAGATGGACTATGTATTATGATTAAGTTAAGACTTACTATGGATTTTATATTACTTTACATTTACTTTTACTTTTTACTTTTCCATAGACCATATTTGAACAATTTTTAAGTTCATTGTCCAGAGAGAGTTCCACATAGAAGATATTGCCTAGAGTGAAACCTATTTTTTATGTTTTCTTTTCCAGATTTACAGCCAAGTTTGCCGCTTCCCTGGCCCGCTGGAGGATCAAACATGAGCTGCTGTCCATTGAGTGTATGCTGCCAGAGAGTGTGAGGATAAAACAGGAGAGAGCCAGCAGCCTTATGCTTTATGCCTGGGTCAACTCTCTGAAGAGCAGGTCAGTACAAATGGGCTCATGCGATTGAATATGTATAAGGTGCTTTGTCTATCTTCCATTTTATAGTTTTCCGAAATGTAGTTATTGTAAATGAAGATAAAATGAATACAAATTGATGCAGAGTACACCTCGACCCATACCTTTTCAAATGGGATCTGGCCCAGTGCTACTACATGTTTTATGCTCAGCTGACACTCTATTAAATATCCAGACAGAGTGTTTATGTGTGATTATGTGCCCCAGTCTGCGGCCCACACAGCCTGATTCTGTTCACAGTAAATCAAGCCACAGTGGACAGATTCAATCAGCAACAACCCTCAGCCCTCTCAGCTACCACAAAGGTCACCTGTCTGGACTGTGTGTATGTCCGTATGAGTGTAAGAATATGTAGTATAAACTATTTTTACTAAGCACCTAAAGCCCCGCCCACAGCCCCAGTCTAAACACGCTGTTAAACTGGGCAGTAGCTGGAGGGCCAAAGGGGAGAGAGGGGGAGGATGGGTGGGGCCTGGAAAAGGTGTGTGGTCGATGGAGTCTCCTGGCATCAGAGGCACATGATGTCACATACCTCTAAAAATGCAGTGGTGGAGTTTATTTAGTGTTTAGATTCAGGTTGCAATGATTGATAGGAATAATCGTGAATAATCAAATACATTATTTATTTCTTTATTTGATTGATTGGTGCTGTGCATGTAAACTGACAGACATGATATAACATTAATGTAAACATTTAAAAGATTGTAAAGATAGTACGATTTCCATCCATTTTCCCAGGGAAATAATCATTGACTATTTCACTCTCAAATTTTCTCCATCAACAACACTTCAGTTGGCACATTTTAAGCTCAGGTTGGTTATATCAAAAAATATGCTAACTACTAAAATAACTAGGTGCAGTCCTAGTTTAGACCCATGTTTCCATGAAGTTAGTTTAAAAATTATTATTTCTGTGATCTCCTCCCTGGCTTCCTCCTGTCTGCCTGGTCCAGTCTTGACGAGGTGCAGAGAGTGCTGAACGGAGCGGGCTTCTACAGGGTAAGATCAGTGGGGCAGCTGCAGGGGAAGACCTTCTGCCAAGACCCACACTGTGAGGATCTACTGGTGTTCCCGGCTCCATTGAGACTGCACCTGGAGCCCACCAGCCTGCTTAGTAACCACAAGCTCATCGTTCAGGTACACACTGCTCCCAACATTGAGATATCGAAAAGAAAAAGTCTCTTTGTACTGATCTTAGTGACAATTGTGGGTCAATGATTTATCACACACTTTTCTCCTCTATGTTAATTACCATTTTAAAGAAAAGGAGGATTTTATTATTGGTGGGTGTGGTATGTGCTATGAAGCAAATATTGAATTTAGATTTCATAACTGTGTCAATATGTTATTGATTATGGTGAGGCACGTTTGCCCATCCACTCCTTTTATTGGTCACCATCTGTCAGGCTTTGGTGGATTTAACCAGTCACAATGAAGTGTAAATTTTGAGTAGCAACAGATGAGTTTCACCTTGCTGTTACGTTGTTGGCAACATTTTCTCATTTAAAGGATGATACAGATATTTAGTTTTAAATTATTAAACGCTATGGCAACAGTCCCTGTTTTTCATCACTCTGAAACATATGAACAGGAACAAAAACTTGTTGGTTTAACTTAGTAAATTAAACCAACAAAAAATAATAGAAGGTCTGTCAGGATACATTTGAAGTGCGATATATAGCCAAAGTATGTATAGGCAATAAACTATGATATTGATACAATTAATGCCACTGACACAATAACCCAAAAGCAGATTTAAACCACAAAAACAATGCTAAATGTACAATCTTGTTAAAAAAAACAAAACAAAAAGAGAACAAAGAAGAAGAAGAAACAAAAAAAAAGCTGCAATAAATAAACAGTAGAATGAAATACTTTAGTTAGTTATGAGTGAAGTTATTTTAAGATAAATACTAACCCCAAGAAATATTGTTCCAGCTTTTATACGTATATTGAGTGATAAGTCATGTAATTCACGTGACAGGCATAGTTAATAATTTTTCCTGTTTCTATATATGCTACTTTTGCTTCAACGATAGATACTCTTCTCCTTCCTCCTGCTATATAAACACATCTCTTATTGATTCTTCAAACTGACTGACCATTGACTCTTCATCCATCTGTCTCTTTCAAATCGCGGCTAATTTTCAGTGTATTCACATTTGGATCATGTAGTCTGAGTCTCCGTTTGACCTCTCCTCAGGATAAAGCCTGCTGTCTGGGCCCAAACGCAGTGCGCCCTTTGTTACAAGAGGCTGAAAATGGAGATGTTCTTATGGCTGGGTGTTTCTCTGGCCTGACTGTCGCACACACAGAATCACTAATTGCAATGAAACAAAAATCCATGGGCAATGACAAATCCACTGTCTTTGTGTGCGTGGGAGACAGGACGGAGGCTCAGAGGGAGAAGCTACAGCGGGCTGTCAATGCAATGGGCTGCAAAAGTAAGTAAAAATGCAAATAATAGCTAACACTTTATATCGGCAGTCAGCACTAATGAGCAAAGCATTTTCAGTTGGCACCAGTGACATTTTTTTTTATTGTAAACATGACTTGGCATCTTTACAGCACTGAATTAAACATTGGCTTTGAAGAATTGTAGAGTTGTTTTCAGTTTCACAAATGCACTTCTTAACTGATGCACTGTATACTTTGTCTAGATGTGTGTAAAATCCCTCAGTTGTCCAGGTAGAATCCATGACAAAGGAGAAATTAAATTTGTCAAATGGTCAAAAGTTTACTTTGGTTGAATACATTCCGCAGCTCATCCAAGCTGCTTCCTCAGTTCTAGTCAGAATGCTGATGGACAAGTGCCTTATATCTGCCTGCAGGGAGGAGCTAACTACACTGAAACTACTCTGAAACGAATGCACTTTCTTTACAGTTTCTGTTTGTTAGCTAGGCCTATTGGAATGCACTGAGCGTGGGGTCATATAATCATTATGCTAATATGACTGACTGCGAAATGTATTCAACCAAAATAAACTTTTGTCCAGTTGACAAATTTAATTTCTCCTTTGCCACTTTGTCTAGATGTGAAACTGATACCGAAGAGCTTTCAGTCTCTGGACAGAAGCGACAAGCAGTTTCAGAAAGTGCAGGTCATCCTATTAGCCCCCAGATCTTCACTTTCATCAATCAGCAACCCGGTTGAGTTTATACTGCAAGAGGATGGAGGTATGTGGCAAAACAAACCATTTTAAATTAACTTTAATGCAACTTATGTTCCAACAAGGGCAAAGAGAATTAAAGTTTATACACCAACTACTTCACAACATTTCAACCACCTGTCTGCTACCTGTCTGGTGATGCATGGTGTCCTGAAATAGAGCAGGAAAATATATGAAAACATGTAATTGCATTTTTTATAAGCATTGTGATTTGCAAATTATGTAGCTTTTTGTTCAGAGTGCACATTTAAAACGCGTCCAGAAGCAATAACGTTTGAGAGAAATATAAATTGCTAAACTAATACAAGGATCCCATACATTTGAAAACAATTATTTACTTCAGGGCTGGCAATTACATTACGACTGGATATTTTCTTGTTTGCAGAGAAAATGATGCTATACAATAATTGCCATCTTTTCTAATTTTTGATTCAGGCAAATGATTTCTTCCTAATTTGAAGAAATATGTGAGGACTTTCCAAATTCAAAAGATATATTATTTTGATTTTAATTGCATTGTTTCTGTAAAATTGGAAGATGTTGCCATGCTAAATACTTCAAACTATTCAAATTGAGATTTTGAATGAATGAATTGCAGTTCTAGTAGAGATGCAAGCTTTCTACCAATTTATTCCATGCTTCTCTATTTTGCTCATTTATAAATTGTCAAGTTTGAAAAGTAATGTTAATGGGCTCTGAGTTTTTGCCTGCAAGTGGTCCTAATGTCAAAAGCCTTAAATTGGTTTAAATGTATCAAGTCTCTCTACAGGCATCTTTTGGCTACACACCATTCTGATCATTTCCGCATTTGATTGCTTTGTATAATGGCTTTGTAAAGGTAACGATTAGCCTTCAAGACTCAATCAATTCTCATCAATATATGCATTAATAATGACTCTGGTCTGCTTTTTACACAAAGACTAGACTGAGTGCAAAATCCTACTCTCTTTTCTCTGCTTTCCCAGATACGGAGCTGCTACAGGACCTAGCTCGGGGATCCATCGCCAAGAGCAAACTGGAGTCTCTGGTTGTGCAGCAGAAGAAGGATATTGATCATGCCATGCAGTGTGAGTGTACCACCAGCTGCTCCAGTCCAATGCAACTCTACAGCCATAACTCAGACAAGATATACACGTCTCCACTGTACGTACCCCTCTCCCCTCTGACTACATCAAGCTCTCACACTTTCTAATTATCTTATCTTATTCATCATTAGTGACACAAGCCCAAAGAGATCCACCGTGTCTTAATTACACATTCAGTAATGATTCTCCTTAGATAGTACAGTACACTGTGAGTATCTTCAATATGGAAAAGAATGGTATTTGCATCAGTAGTTGATAATGCTGTGTTAAAATAGTACAAAAAAGAGATGGGTTAGCCAATTAAACTAATTCATGATATAAATGTAAAATTTGAATAATTTTGGCTAATTTAGATTTACTTGAGTGATGCACCCAGATTAATTTCCTTATCGTTTCTGACAGTTGTTTAAACAATGGAGTAAGCATTCCTATTTTAACCTGTCAGTGATGTAATGAAACTGCTTAAAGGGGGCTCTGTGTTCATGAAGATGCTTTGTCTAGTACAGCCATTCCTGAAGTGTTCTGTGCCATGGCCCCCCTATTGACGCGAAGATAACAAGGGGCCCTCAAATAATAATGTACATTATATTTAAATTCCTTAGATTTACATGGTAAACAAGATATAATTATGCCTGTAGGTTTAACACTAATATAAAGCAATACATTTAAACTAGTATCTTATGTGAGGTTTATTTCAAACTTTATTTCTTTCTGCTTGCAAAAGTGGAATTCAGCCTTGGCTGCACTTTTCTTTTTTTACTTCCCGTTTGCTGCGGAGGTCTCATGATGGCTGCCTCTTGTTCATCTAGTATTTCAGCATAGAACACTTGGTTTAGTGCAGGAGTCTCAAACTCAAATTACCTAGGGGCCACATTAGATAAAGTCTGAGTGAGGCTGGGCCGCATTGAGTATTCGATAAATAGCGGTTGCACGGAAAAAAAGAGAGAGAAAGAACAACACGCAACACACTTTCTTAATCTTTAATAACAGTTCAGAACATGAAAATGTATTCAGAACATGAAAATGTATTCAGAACTTAAGTTTAAACTAATACGTCTACTCTTCTTCTTTTGCCTTCTCCTTGCTGGTTGAAACCTGGCTACGCTTCATCTTGCACAGCTGAGAGATATTTGGCTTGCAGGAGGAAGCACATGAGATCCTCAGGATAGATTGAAGATGCTCATCAGTGAGCCTTGACCTGTATTAGGTGCTTTCACACCGACAGTATTTGGTGCGCACCAAACGGTCCATTCGAACCAAAAGTGGTTAGTTAGGTTCGTTTGCATTGGTGCGAAAGCGTCAATCGGACTCTGACCCGGACCAACTCAAGCGGACCGAGACCTCAAAAAAGAGGTGGTCTCGGTTCGCTTGAAACCAAATGACCAACTTTGGTGCGGTTCCTCTGGTGTGAACGCGAACCCGGGTCCAAACCATAGACAGCAGGTCCAAACGAACTATTTGAAATGCATCATGGGAGAAACGCGTCTCCTCTGCCTGAAATGACGTACTGTACGACTCCAGCGCAGTAACAGATTGTTGTCCAGATGCAGCCGCGATTCATTTTCAAATTATTTTACCAACAATGGCCAATACAGAGAATGTAATACACGAAGATCAGAGCTAGTACGTGCAAACATGTGGCTCCAGAGTGAGTCAAAATTGGGGGGGTGTACTTCTGTTCAGGACCTGCACAGAGGTCCCGGTGTTCCCCGTGATCATGTAGGAACCAGCATTTGTTATTTTAGGCTTTAATTAACCAAATAATTTTATGGTAATAGGCCATCGCCCATTCAATTGATTCACCTTTAAAAAATGTCCTGCTTTTAGCCTAGTGTGAGAAATACAGTCGGACTAGATCCAAACCAGAGTCCCGAACCAGTAGGAGCAGCTCTGGTTCTGTCCGGGCTCAGATGACGTGGAGCGGGGAGTGAAAAGCGCTTTCCCTGGGAAGAACCAAATGCGCGGAGGACATACACCAACTAAACTGGATTCACGCTTCTGTCCGGATGCTTTGCACCACCTCCGAACCAGCTGCGGTTCTTGAGCGCGGAGGACCGGAGAAGCCCGCACATACCTGTAGGTAGTCCACAGCGCATTCTCACTTTCCCCGCACGGAACCAGCGCGCAGACGGCAAAACGTACCCGCTCAGACCCAGTCATTGCGCACCGGTCTTGCTCACCACCGTCTATAACCAGCACATGGAGGATGGAGCCTCCGGACCATCTGACCAACGCACTTACAGGACGACAGAAGACCAAGGACCAGACCCCAGCGCTGTCGTGAGGAGGTGCGCGCTACGGTGAGCGCTGTTGGCTGCTGCTGTTACCCGAACTCTGGGCTGATGCGGTGAGTTTGTAGAAAGTTCTACGTTGCTGTTTTATGAGTTCATGGTGATAAGATGTGGACGACCCGCGGTATTAACAGTGATCAGTATTGGTTACTGGAGGTATCGCTGTTCTACCGGGATACAGAGGCTCGTTAATCGGACCAGTTTTGATTCGTTTGCCGGTGTGAAAGCGGACCACACTGGAGTGTATCTGCGTCTCGTATGTCAAACATGGATGGAAGACCCTTGTTTTTGCCTCGTACTTTTTGCTAACATGTCGCCAAGCCTCTGGAATAGATCACTGCAGTTTTGTGGTGCTTGCATATTGATGGGACAGATGTGTTTACCGCTGAGTGCGCGTGAATTTCGGCGACACATATGTGGAGCTTGGTCATCGGGTTGCCAGTAAGTTACGCACCGAGTATTGAGCAGGTAAACAGACTGTCAATGTCTTTTTATTTCTTATTACCCCCTCCAATAAAGGTCGCATACTTATGAACAGGGAAATTCTGTCAGCGCCTCCTCTGCGCTCTGATACTGTGGTTGTGGGAGCGTAAAGTGAAGTGCGCACACGTGTACCACCACGTGTGGTTTGTTTTGGTTCTTCGGTGACGCCATATGTGCACGTGTATGTGCACATGTACTTGTATTAACAGATCCACTTAGACTCGTTGTTTCACAACTGCTGTAAGTTGAGTTTTGGGATGTAAACTGCGTTAATAATCTCTTGTTGTGAATCTGCATGGGCACCGATGGCAGCTTCATCTGTCAGTGCGGCCTGCGGTAGGGGGGTGAGATTGTGCGTACATCTACCGCGGGCCGCACTGACATTATTCTTTGGAATTAAGTGGAGGGCCGCAAAAAATCCTTCCGAGGGCCGCAGTTGGCCCCCGGGCCACGAGTCTGAGACCCCTGGTTTAGTGTCTTCTGGCTCAGATTTTGGTTTCTCATCTTTGACCACATTGGGGCTGGTGTTGTGGGACTGTGGATAGATGAGGAGTGCTTGCAACTTCGAAGTTAATGCTACCGTTATGGTTTTTGTTTTTAGGAATTTGTGTCTCTGCAAAGACACTTGTACAACCGCCTTCTTTCATAGTGTTGTCAACACCCTGTTCATTCTCAATCAGGCAGATGGAAGGAATCCTGGATTATCCTGTCATGTCTTTTCAGTTCTTCTAAACCAGGCATTTTCTTTGAGTACAGGAGCCAGCACAAACTTGGACTTTTCTTTCTCCTGAGGAGCTTGTGTTGCTTCAGTCTGTGCCTTCTTGAGGTTTGGTTCCACCCTATCTGGTCTGCATCGATTGCCACTCCTATAATTTTTTATTCAGTTTTTAGGACCTTGGGATATCTCTCCGTTGGTTTTGTTATGACAACTAGGTCTGCCATCACTGCTTTTTCTCTCTGTTCCCTGTCCAGTATTAAAAGGTCTTCTTCCTCCTCTTGGGAACCAGTTTCTAAGTGTTGGAGATGTCTCTGCTGCACTGTTCTGATGCCAAGTTTTCTTGGCATAGTCAAACCTCCACAATGGCTACAGCTATTCTCTCTCTATATATTAATTCTTAATATTATTTTTATATCAGGTAGCAGGTAGAACTGTGTAAAGAAGTGCACTGGACATGAAATATATTCCAAGAAAGAAACTGTTGTTAAGATTTTTGCAATACTTCTCTGAATTTCAGCTTCTAGTATGGCCATTGAAATCATCTTGTTGTAACATACATATTGCAATCAATCCAAAAAGTACTTATTTTGGAAACACAACCCCCCTCCACTGACCTTATGAACACAGCCAAGAAGAGTAATTTTCATATATTAGGTTCATAATATGAGTCTTTTTAGCTTTAGTTCATTTTGCTTTGTTCCTTGCCTTTCTTCATCTCTTCTCATGTTCATCAGGCAGGTGCAGTCGTCCTGATAGCTGCATTGAGAAAGCAGCTTGTGTAATCGCACTAGCATTGATTGGCCCACCTCAACATTTCTGCCAGCACAGATTCCCTCCAATGGGACTGTTAATTATTAGTGGGTGTTTATCGAGTGACTGCGTCGATGGTTTCGGTGCACAAGGCATCCGGCGAGACAAATATTCTCAAAGTCATATGCAAACTCCGTTACAGTCTATAATGTCCTCGTATCTCATTTCCACTTATCCAAAAGAGATTTCTCATTGTTTTGTTGCTGATTTAGAATACTACCCAGCAGCTTTTTATTTCAGCTCACTCAGACTAATTGTTTTTGACAGACTGTAATTAGTGAGCAGGAAGAAAATCAAAGCTTAAATGAATGAAATCTAGCAACCAATAGCCGCAGTAATCTTTATACCTGATGCAATCACTAAGAAAAATGCGCCATGAATACCCAATCGCCTCAAAGACTCTGTATTACTGGTGGGAGTTCCAGTATTACATTAAATTAAACTATCTTGCTTTTATACAGTTAGTTACAGGTGCTTTTATGCAAAAAAGTAATAACTTGAAAAACATGCATTATTACTCTGAGCATGGTCTCCTCTACAAACATCTGATCTGTAACTTGGCCTGGTTGGTACCCCACATGCTTGTCTCCATGGAGATAGGTAAGTCTGGAATAATTGCAATTGAAAGGTGGGGGACCCGTCTATGCCTCAGTGTATTAACCTAACACTGACACTGACATGAACACAATATATGTATTTTTCCATAATTCACTTGAGTGGATTTTGGACCTTAACTCCTGAGTGGATTTTGGACCTTAACTCTCAGAAAGTTAGGACTTTTTTTACTGAAACTTTTGTCTCCACAGTTCCCAAGATACTGTCAGTGATCTACACCACCTACTCATCGTACCCTGAAGAGAACGAGGAGGTGGTCCGAGGCGTGTTTGAACAAGCTCCTGCCTGTGGGGGGAATGGTCAGAGTCAAACAAGGTAAACGCAAGGGTTCTTCTGTGGGCCCCCTCCCAATGCAGCCCTGTGCTCTAAATCTGTGCTTTTTTGTGCATCCTCTTCACGTGAGCCTCGCCAGTTGTTTGTCTCTCTTCAGATAAGCCCCTGTCACAGTCTCAGAGCACCTCAGGCTGCCACTCGATTTAGTGTAGTCTCGCAGTAGTGGAAATCAAATCAAAGGTGTCATTTCATGTCTGTAAATTCTGTGGAAAAGGGAAGGAAAATATGCAGCTTGTTTTTGTAGATTCCAACTGTTTGTTCAGCTCTACAGTTTGTGGGTGTTTTTTTTTTATTCATTACAAAAAGTCTATTCACATTGTGGGTTTTCAGTACTGGCCTTGAATTCCAACTAATACAATACAACATATTTGTTATAAGACCCTGCAATCACCATAGTTACACTCAAATATTACAGTTACATGCCTGGACAAATCTACATCAAATCTGTATATTTATTGTTTGCTCCCTGTATTTATATTTTCTATGTTCAGCCTCTCCTCGTTCAGCTTTCCTTTAGACTCAAAGGACCTTTTATTCAAGATGGAGCCCACAGAACACAACAATGGCTGCTTCATGGCTATTTTCACCAGAAAGGTAAGCTTTTATGACACTTGTAGTATCTAACAAGTCCAAGAGTTGTAAAGAGGCTGTGGGTTCTGAAAGTCTCAGGTTACTGAAGTGAACAAGAATGCTCAACTGATTCATGGAGTATTGCCTAATGCCTATTGATAACGAAGAACGAGACATACTGTGAAGTGCATAGCTTAAAACGTCTGGGAGACAAATTGACCAAGGTAATGTTACGCAAAGGCTGGAATTCTTTGTTACGCCAATCACAAATGGAGTAAACCACAAAGAAATATCAAGAATTACATTGTAAAACTGCAGGTGTCCTTGGTACAACTATGTGACCAATGGATATTCCACAACACTCTTCAACTACTAGAACTGGTCATCTCTAAGTGAAGACAACACATATGGCTATTATTTCTATTCAGTAATCTTGAATAGTTACATAGCACAAGAAAAGTTTTTATATATCTAAAGTTGCGATCAGGTATCATTTGTCATCACATCTATTTCAAACTATTCTGTGGCAATCTTGAGAAAGAAAAAAAGAGAAATGTTCAAAGTAGAAGTAAGAATGTTCAGTCACAGGCAGAAATCTGGTGCGACTCTACGGCCTGAAAGCGATTGTAGAGATGTGGGAGGGCTGCGGCGGGATAAGGGGAGATTGAATACTGAAAAGGGAGCGCCCTGATAGAGACAGTGTCTGTGTCAGCTGCAGCAATAGAAATCTGTTAAGGCTGAGATGAGCAGAGCTGATACCTACAGTAGGGTGTGGTGGGCCTCACTATTCAGTCAGGCAGAGAGGGGCTGGTGACTAATTGAATTGCAATGATGACTCCCTTATACACTCCACTGCATTGTTCTACATCTGTTCTCCCTTCTCTCTCCATCATGTCTTTTATGTAACATGATCCCCACGCATAATGCAGTTTGGAGGATATAAGGGCTTAAATCTGGCAATTCTTAAAGTAGACTGGTGCATTTAAAAACAATTTAAGATTTTATAAACTTACAACAATCTAGAAATTTCTCCTCACCTATGTATTCATTTATTTACTGTCTTGTACCATTTTCTCGCACAAGTACAATTGTGGAGAATAAAATTCAAATAAAGGCTTTTGTTTGTCTGAAATGTTACACACTCAGACATTAAAGTAACCATTAACACAAAAATTTACTTTTTTGAGCTTTTAGCCATTTTAGAATGTTGTTACCTCATCAAAAACATACATGGAGTTGTGTTTTGTTTCAAATACACATATTTCCTTTTCCTTTATTATTAATCTGTCTACATCTCCAAATCCCAAAATGCTCTGTTCCACCTTGTGATGTCATGAAAAAGTAATTTTCAGGTTAACAGCTATATTTTACTTTAGTTCAGTAGAGATTGGAAATTCCAGAACTGAAATGATCCAGATTATTCTAGTGAAGGTGCATGAATTCCTGTAATACCACATGATGTCGCAAGGTATTTTCTGTTTGAGAGAAGAACTTAGAGTATATAGGCAGCCAGGGTTTGTGCATTAAACATGTGTGAATGAAACATAACTCTAGGTATGTTCTTGATGAGGGAACATCATTATAAGAGAGACCAGAAAATAGCGTAATATAAAAAACGAAACAAAAACATAAATACTGTATATATTTTTGTGAGGGTATTACCAGCCTAAAATCTTCTAGTAAAATTATAGTGTATGACGTAAGGTCTTTCCACAGTGACTTATCTCTCTTCTGTCAGGTTTCTCCACATGACAACATAACTAGTGCTGTCATGCGATAAAAAAAAATAATTAAAGATTAATTAATTATGATCTGTAATTAATTAATCTAATTAATCTCTTTTTAATCTCACCTAAAAAATGCTGAGAAAAGCCTTCAATTTCAGGTATTTTCATTTAAATTCATTATTACATTATTGTGGCAGATCAAAAGACTGATATAGAACAAAAAAAAGTGACTTTATAAAGTCATTTATTGTTTAACAAACTTTAATAGTTGCAGTCATTTACATTCCACAGTATCATCATTATTATTACTGTTACTAATCTGCAGTGTTGGGAAGGTTACTTTTAAAATGTATTCCCCTACAGATTACAGATTACATATCCCAAAATGTAGTTTGTAACTTAATCCATTTAATTATTTAAAGTGAATAACGTAATTTGAATACTTTAAATTACTTGATATTGTCATGCTTTTTAAAACTACATGAATGTAGCAACCGCATCCTGCAAATGTTGTTCTTGTTTGTTCTCTTCAAATTGGCTGTTGAGCCCAAGTCTCCATGAACAAGAAACTGTTTGCTGTAAAGTAGCAAAGACTAGGAAATCTGAATATAATAACTTTTGTCTACTTAAAGACAATAAAAAGTCCAGTCTTTCCTTAACCATATTAAAAATATTATTGATAGAGAAATGCTTTCTATATGCGATCACTGATTTTAGTCCTGGTTTTAGTCCTGGTTTAGACCTGCTTTAGTCCTACTTTAGTCCTAGTTTAGTCCTGGTTTTAGTCCTGGTGTTAGTTCTGGTTTAGTCCTGGTTTAGACCTGGTTTAGACCTGGTTTTAGTTCTGGTTTAGTCCTGGTTTAGTCCTGGTTTAGACCTGGTTTTAGTTCTGGTTTTAGTTCTGGTTTAGACCTGGTTTAGTCCTGGTTTAGTCCTGGACTGGGTTAGTCCTGGTTTTAGTCTTGGTGTTAGTTCTGGTTTAGAGGCGCACAGGAGGAAGCGCGGTTTACGCAGCGTACGCGAGAAAACGTACGCGGCGCACGGGAGGACAGCGGTGTCCGCGCAGTAACTACGGAAGGAAACGTGGTCCGCGCGTTCTCAGGTTAATGACGATGATGAAGGTGTGTGTTTGTGTTTGTTTGTGTTTGTGTGCGTGTCCTCTCATGTGGCAGGTCACTATAGGACAGTAGTGCAGACATCATGAGCCTATGCAGGTTGTTTTCACCAGTGACATTTAAGTTGTAGGCGATTTTATATTTGTTATTTTCTTTTATATTTCACGTCGGGAGAATAATTTCCAAGACACGAATGTGTTTTTACCTGTGCACTGCTGACTCTGTTCTACTGGCTCTTCGACCTCGTCCATTGTGCGACTGACGCCGCAAACGTTAACATGACGTTTACATCGCTCTTACTGCGCGTGTTTTCTGTGGGTTTCCGGCGATGAGTGGAATTACCGAAATAAAAAAAATTATAAATGTGTTTTTTTTGTGTGTGTGTTGTTGTCCCAACAACATATAAAAACAGATTTTATAATAAAGCAACTCGCATACAGAAACAGTAAAGTTAGAGATTAAAAATGAGATTAACGTGATTAAAAAACATAACGCGCTAAATGACTGTAATTAATTAATCGCAATTAACGCGATAATTTGACACCCCTAAACATAACTACATTTACCAGTCCTTATGAAACATGCGCCAATGCTTATGATGCTGTGGTGAAGTTATTAGCCACTGGTGCAGCTAGCTCCCATACACAGCGCTCTCTGGTCATCCATCACGTTTTATACCTCCACAGATGAGAATGAAAAGATAATCAAACTGCTGTAATGGCACTTCATACAGGATTTTTTTCTTACCCCGCCTCCAATAAACTTGTCTAATCAAAAGTTATTGTGGCACCCGGAAAAGCATCATAAAAATAGCAATTATATAAGTGTTTGAATGCTGTCTGGCCTACATTGACTGTCACAGCGGTGAGCCATAAATTTCTTTATGAGGCGTCCATACTGGAACAGCTGGGGACGATAAACAGGGTCGACTAATGCTTTTTTGGCCTAATTTCTATGGGAAGCAGAGCAAAACGGGACAAGCCCGAAAGGGGCACAGATATTGAAGGACAAATCTCATTGCTATAAATAAGATGATTCAATTTAGAGTTTGGCTTTGATTTGAGTTCATTTATCTTTGTGTAGTGGTAGTTTTAGGCTTTGTACCAGCATATTAGACATAATGGTAATGAGCATATGGGCAGGCGGCTGTAGTTTTTAAGTACTAAGTAGGTGAGTCAGTATTGGCTTAGGTTACTTTGTCTGAGGTTTGAAAAAGTCATGAAATTAAACCGAGAGGATAGCGTACTTTGTTTAGAGGAGATGTTGAGGAAGTGGGGGGAGAAAGAGAAGTAAGGGAGAGTGTCTCTTGAATTATTCAGCGCCCCCTGTCTGTGTGAGTTAACATCAATGGTGTTGTGGGCATTCGCTGAACACTGCAACACAGACCACCACCCCGTTTACCTGCCGTCACCTTCACCTAACTGTACACAAGTATATGCATATCATTTACACATAAATCGTACTATAATACTGGCATGAATACATTTGCATGGAAGTACGCTTGAAGGTTAAAAATAAAACACTAACTCGATGGCTGCGTGTCCCAGTCGTGTACATGGTGCTTGTGAATAATTTAGGCTCCAAAGAGTGCAGTGTGCCGCTGTATGCTGAGGCAGCAGGTGACCCCGAATAGGACCAAGGACATGAGGGGGTTTCATCTTTGACCATTTAAGGCACTATATTAAGCAAATCGACTCTTCTGGGCTTTAAAACATGTTACAATGTGATTACTTCCTCAGAAACATATCCGGAGTTGTGTTTTGTTTTATTTACAAATGTTTGAGTTATGGATGCACCAATCCAACTTTTTTCACTTCTGATACCGATTCTAATACTATGGCTTTAATTATCTGCCGATACCCAGTATCAACCACTACCAGTGAAGAGACTGAAAAGAGCATTAAACCAAACATTTAAACAGAAATAAAATAAAACAAAACTTGTTCATGGATCGTTATATCAACTGAACCGATATTTGTAAGCCAATATCTGCAATCCAGTAAAAATGCCAGAAATGGTGCTGGTATCTGATACCAATATTGGATCGGTGCATCACTAGTTTGAGTAATCCTTTATTATTAGTCTGTCTACATCTCTATAGCTCAAAATGCTCTTTTCCACCTTGTCATGTAGTGGTAGTTACATTTTTTAAAATTATTATTATTTATTATATGTTTATTTAATAAGAACTGTGCATATTAATGAACATCTACATCACTGCAGTGTAAATATGCCAGATTATAGCAAGAATGCTAATGCTAATGCTAATCTGTAGTCCTTTGGCAGGTAACACCACAAATTTAACAGAGAAAAAACAACAATAACAAGTGACAGGTCTAAACTAAAAGTGTCCACAAGTCTGGTTTTCCTTTAACCACTGTTTCAAGTGGGATTTGAAAGTGGCAAGTGTGTGAATTAAACAAAACTCCAGATATGTTCTTCATGAGAAAAAACATTATAAAATAGATAAGTAAATAAGACTAGGAATGTTTTGGTGAGTTTCATATTTTATATATATATATGTATGTATGTATGTATGTATGTATGTATGTATGTATGTGTATATATATATATATATATATATATATATAAACATAGTATTATTATATATATATATAAAACATAATATTTTGCTCATTTTGTAGAGAGCACACGGTGCTTGGGGCCAAATTGGACATACATGGCATATCTATAGTGTCTATAGTTTTGTTGGGAACTGTGAAGCTTATTTTACTGTAAACCCCCCCAGAAGAAGGTTCTGGACCCTGAATGCCCACAGAGACATGGAGACACAGACAAACAGAAGGCGAGCCTACCCAGGAAGCGCGGGAATAAACAGCACATACAGTAGAGCACCTTCACACCCACAAACTCACTATCAAGGTGGCAGTAGGAGATTGACAGTTTTTTCCTGTGGATCCCAAAGACACTGAGGAGCACTTTGCCATTGACGGGAAACATTGCTAAGGAACATTAAAAGCATTTGCTAAGTTAATGGACATTCAAAAGAACTGCTTTGCTTACAGTATTATTGTTTTGTTTGCATTTATGATAATTTTGTAAACTTTAAAGGGACACAAGGTATAATTCTTAAAGTTACAAAATTTACTTGAAAGTGTATAGAACAATTTGAGTCTAAAGTAGAGCTTAGACCTAAAATTAAGCCAGTAAAATTTGATTCTCAACCACAAGCCCTCTAAATTAAATGACCGGTCATATTAAAGGAAAAATTGATTAAGACACAAATAGAACTAAAACTAAACCTATTGAACTTGATACATTAAGGGTAAAACAATACAAGGAGTCTTCAAAGGTATCTTACACAAATTAAGCACCTGCAACATTTGTTAATTGTTTGTCTGTCAACTGTTATTAAACTTTGCCGGCTTTTCCATTCAAAATGATCTTGAATGTGACTCTTAAATATCACTCACCACTCCTACGATCCTATGTCCTAGGTCCAGTAGCTTATTTCCTACTAGCATAGGTGCTACAATAGTATTCATCTTTACATGATTTAACAAGGAACTATTTTATTTTGGTTATGTTGCCAGGATCCCCAACATGTCAAAGATCCCGTAACAGAAGATTCAGTAGAGGCGGCAGAGACAATGGAAAAACCACAACGTAAAAGATCTCAAGCTCAACTCAAAAGAAGAGAAACCAAATCCAACACTGGCAGTGGTAAGACATGATCTGTCAACAATCTTTAGGCTTTAGGAAGTCAGTTGAACATGAGGAATAAATGTGCTTTTCCCCCTAGGAACCTCCTTAAAGAAGAGTTCAGTGGTGCGTCATTGTGGCATATTTTAGACATATTTAGACAAATGCCATTTTTTTCATGCATTGCCTTTGTTTTATATCTTGACAGCCTTCACCCAAAGTCAACGAGTCCGGCGAGGCACAACTGGCCAGAATAAACTCCAGAGATTCCAAAAAAAACCCCAAACTTGAACCCCTTCAGAAACCTTACAGCTGGAGTAATACTATTCGCCTGAATCACTTTCCACAACAGGTAGAGCAGATGAGTTAAATTGTGTAATGTGTTATCTGGATAAATGGATTTGTTATATCATTATCTCCCTCATAAAAAAAAAAAAACTTTTCACTTTTTATGCTTGACCCTCTTTTTCAAATTATTACCAGACTGTGCCGAAGCTCAAAGAGTCCACCCCAATAGTCCTACCCAAGATTAATTCTAGTGGCTTCAAGCGATCCCCGAAACTGGAGCCTTATGGGAAATCCAATCGTTGGAACAAAGTGGTCCATCCTTATCCTACTACCCAGGAAGTGCTCAAGCCAACAGTGATCTCTCTACCACAGGAGGACTTCCCTGCTCTATTCCCCCCTCACGTACGCCCCAAATATAGAGCCAGTTTCAACAATCACATGTGAAGTCTTTTCGGCTAGAAACCTTCATACTCAGTCAGCTGGATGGTGAAATAGCCACTGCCATCAAATGAAACTCTAAAATGGATGAGAATCAGTATTAAATATAATATATAATTGTATAGTCAAGAGGCTTTTGTTTTGATAATGCGTTTATTGTCACAACATATTTGTACATTTACACTCAGTGAAAATGGTGGCAAACAGAACAGATATGACTTTAACTTTCAGAGCGTCTAGTTTTATGTGAGAGAGTGCCTTTTGCGTTGGACTGCATCACTGAGTTCACGTGGAGGTGAGGTGGTGGCCCCGAGCCATAGGAGCAGTGTGAAGGGTTTCAAAGAGCAGTGACAGCAAAATGCTTTACTGCGATGTGCTCATATTTATGTGTCTGTGACCCAGAGCTGACAGTCTGCAGAGCTTCTGAGAGAGGGGGGTATAGAGTTTACCGCTATAATACGTGTGTGTCGATAGAAGGCCACAACACTGCTCATATCCATGGGTCTCAGCTTCCTGTTATAGGCAACATTTTGAGGACTTTTCGCCATTCAAAAGATACAATAATTTTGTCCCATGTAACCATTAAAGGACTTTATTATAATTCCAACAGAGTGTCTCAGACTTTTTTTGACCACTTTTTACTCTATCATCACAGTAAGTTTTTTTTTTTACTACAAGCATGGTCATCTGGTCATAACGGTTTATTAAATAATAATTTAGGTTATATTGTTAGGCACGGTCCTTGTTTTTCATCATTCTGAAACTCATGGATGGATTAGAAGAGTTAACCAGCTACCATATGTTAAGTGTGTACATAGAGCTTCCTGAGCAGTTTCAAAATAACATTCTTGATACTTTTAACTTGTTTGATCATGGTTAAAATACTATCAAATGACAATCAAATATGGAACATTATAAAAACATATTTGTGGAGTAACAGTTAATTGTGGGGGCTCCGGCTAATTTTTGTTAAAAAGTTCCAAAAAAGTAATATTATTTCGACCTGCAAACATTTTCTGCAACAAAAGAACTATAAGTGGGTACTGACACACCCAGCCTTTTGTTTTCTGGCTGTTTAACTTGAGAAAGTACAAATACACCGGAGCTCCGACTACTTGGCCTGAAGCTGCCTTGGGCAAGAGTGCCAAGGCCACGCTGGAAACCATAAGGGCCTGGCTCCACTGCACGCATCAGTGTTTAAGCGTGTAACCTTGTGTCAACGCAACAGCGGCTCCATCGGCAGCTGCAGCAGGACGTACACGTGCAGTACTGGCTCTGTTTGTCAATGGGAAAGATGATCAAACTTGACTGGGCGCGTTTAGCCACTTGTATCAAGTCCACAGTGAAACTAACAGCTAGCTGAACAGGCTTGTATTTACCTTCTGTACAGGGTGACCACGGCAAACGGCAGGTTTGCAAAAGTTAATTTTATAGCACTAATTAACAGTCATTCTGGAGCTGGGCTCTTTCACATGACACAGATCTGTCCCAGGAGCACGTTGTGCTGATGGTAAACACACAAATACAACAATAGATGCATGCTGGAGCTGCCCTCATTCACTTTCCATGCATTCTAAAAGTTACGCATCCAAAAGTTGCAGTTTTTACGCTCGCGTAGGGCAAAATATGCGTGCAGTGGAGTTAGGGCCTTAGGGCCTTTGGGATTTCAGAAAATAGGATCCATCCTATTTTTGACGCTCTACACGAGCGTAGGCGCACATCCCCATCAAAATACACCGAGAGCATGAATCTTTGGTTGTATTTGTGCGTTTACCATCAGCACAAGGTGCACCTGGGGCAGATCTGTGTCATGGGAAAGAGACCAGGTCCAGAAAATGCTGATGCGTGCAGTGGAGCCAGACCCTAACAGCTAATCCGGCTGATACCGCCAGTGCAGCTGAGACGCCAAACTCCGGTGAGGAGCAGACTGACATCAGTGATTTGAAATCCCAGCTGCTTTTGTCTCTTAAGGATGATATCTCCTCCATGATAAAAGAGGAACTCGCGGAGGATTTTGGCTCCATCAAGGATGAAGTGCAGTCGGTAAGAAGCGAGATTGCTAGCTGCGCGGAGACGACAAGTAAGACTGTGGCTCAGGTGAATACAAAGGTAAAGGATATCAAGGATGGGTTCTCTACCTGGAGTGATAAAGTGGCCGTGTTGCAAACAATGGTCGAGGATCTCAAAAAGGAGGTGAGCGATTTGGGAAATAAATGTGAGGACCTGGAGGGCAGGATGCGGAGATGTAATATCTGCATCATTGGAGTACTGGAGGGGCCAGAGTCAAGTACCATCATGGCTGTGTCAAAGCTGTTGAATGAGGTCCTGAATATGGGCAGAGATGTCATCATCGATCGCTCACACCAAACCAGCGGATGCAGACAACCAGGAGGGAAGCCACGAGCCATCATAGCGAAGCTGCATTACTACCAGGACTGTGTGGAAGTGCTACGCTGTGCCTGAACCTAAGCACCTCTGCAGTTGGCCTGTTGCCATTTTCCCCGATTTCAATGCATCTGTCTCCCAGGCTCGTGCTGCCTTTGCTGATGCCAGGAAGCTCCTCAGTGATCAACAGGGTGTCCGTTTTGGTATAATGTATCCAGCGTGGCTCCGTATTACGCACAATAGAGAGGAGAAGGAGTTTGTTGATGCTGCAGTTGCCATGGAGTACATCAAGAAACGTGATTAAAACCTGAGGTCCAGAACAAGATAATAATAAATAGATGCATCACAAATTTCGGGCTTCCAGTCTTTGCGCAATGCATACTGGGAAGGATTTTCTGAAAAAGTGAGCATCAAACCACCATGTTTGTTTTCCCAGTGGGATGTGTCTATTGACAAAGTCGAACTTTTCTAGGCTTTTGAACTATATCACTTTTGTTTCTGGTTCTGATACCGTCATATTTTAGTTTTGGGATTCGGACATTGTAATTGTGTGGTTGTTGGATGTCCTAACAGCGGAAAACGGCTCAAGAACTTCATAACTGCAAAAGGGAATCAGATCTGTGTGACTGCAAACTTCCATTCAAAATGTTTCCCTTCCTAGAACACAAACAGACTGAGCTTGCACTTTCTGGTTCTTGTGGTTTTACAGCAACATTACGTCTTGGTCACTTTGCAGTGGAAGGTGTTTCTTGGCGAACAGCTGGTGCCTTTCGCTTTGGCATTAACTTTTTAAAATCTTAACCAAGGTGGAGCGAGAGATCGGGGTTTTGCTTTGTTTGCTCCACATACAAAATGTTCAATACAAACTCGGGTTGATTTCTTAGGCAGTTAAAGGTTACCTTTTTCGTCCTTCCTGTGTATCAGTAGTGCCCATCGCCTTCGCCTTTCACTATTTTTCAATTACGTTGGGAAGGGAAACAGTTTGAACATAGGTTTGCAGTCACAGATCTGATTCCCTTTTGCAGTTATGAAGTTAGCAAACAAATTTCTTGAGCCGTTTTCTGCTGTTAGGACATCCAACAACCACACAATTTTGATGTCTGAATCCCAAAACTAAAATATGACAATATCAGAACCAGAAACAAAAGCGATATGGTTCAAAAGACTAGAAAAGATCAGCTTTGTAAATAGACGCATCCCACTGGGAAATCAAACATGGATCAATCATCAATCCTTCCCAGTATGCATTACGCAATGACTGGAAGTCCAAAATTCGTAATGCATGTATGGGAGCAATGCGATTCCATCACTACTCTGATTTGCTATACCAGTGGGCCACTGGTAGGCCTATATGTTCTTTTTCTTTATGTCGGCTACTGAAAAGAGAAGGTTATGCTGGATGTCATAATGTGACTCATTTTGGCAGTGTGTATGTTGCAGTATTTTTTTTTTGGACAACTGATTGTAGGTTGTATTTCAAATTTAGTGGGAGCCTACTGTGTCCTGGCTTATAGTTTACCAAACAAGCGCTAGATGTGTGGATTTAAATGGTCTAAGAGTTTTTGCAGTCATCATGTTCTGTTAGATGACAGAGTTCTGGAGATTTGCCAGACAGTTATATTTTGTATTTATTGTGAATGGTACTATTATTGCTCTTATTCCATCCTGTTTGTGTTTTTTTGGTTATATCATTTTTACTCTTAAACTTCCATTTTCTAATAATTTATTCACTTACACTGAAGTTACAAATATGACTTGCTTAAATACTGGTTGTTCAGTCAATATTGTGAGCTGGAATGTAAAATCTATGAACCAGCCAATTAAACGAGGCAAGGTTTTTGCTCATTTATTATTGTTGTTGGACAATCAAATGGATTTCCAATTGGGTTTCCCCAACTGGGATGATGCAATTTTTTTTTGTAATGTTTTTTCACAATTCCCAAACCTGGCATCTCATAATATTATTTTCAGGGGGGATCAAATTGTGTCTTATCTGCTATGGGTCGTAGTCTCTAGATCGTGCAATTCACTCATTTCTTGATACTTATGGGCTTGCTGATGTCGGGAGATTTCTGAACCCCACTTCATGAAAATACTCTTTTTTTTCTAATGTTCATAAGTCATTTTCTTGAACTGATTACATCTTTATAGACAAAAAAACTTTTACCCTTAGTAAAAGATTGTGACTGAAAAGCTACGGTAATTTCTGATCATTCCCCGGTTGTTGTCTCATTGCAGTTTCCAAACGTATACTCTAACTACTGGCCATAGAGATTTAACCTGCTGCTGCTTGCGGATGAGGAATTTACAAATTTTATACAAACTCAAATTCAACTTTTTGTTGATATCAATCAAACCCGAGATGTCTCTCACTCAACTGCCTGGGAGTCACTCAAAGCATATTTGAGGGGTCAAATAATTTCATTCTGTGCAAAACAGAGGCGTATTTCAACCGAGCACCTCACTAAATTAGCTGATCAAATTGTCAAACTTGGTATAGCATACAGTAATTCACCTACCCCCATGTTATATAAAAATAGATTACAATTACAAACTGAAAACAATCTTTGATCTAATAACAAGCTAAATTTCTCTTGTATGAACATGGGGAGAAAACTGGCAGGCTCTTAGCTCAACAGTTGTGACAGTGAACTGCTAATCAAACCACATCACAAATTAAAAATGATCAAGGGATCTAATGTACAGACAACTTGGATATGAACAAAAGCTTTTTTAAATTTTGCAAAGTGATATACAGTTGCCCCACAATAAGTGACAATTCAGACTGGGACTCCTTCTTCAATGGAATTATTATTCCTCAGCTGGAAGCAGACGCAGCAAATAGTATGAAGGAGCCACTCTCCTATGCTAAGATTGAAAAGGCCTTGAGGAGTATGCAATCAGGCAAGGCTCCAGGTCTTGACAGATTCCCGTCAGAGTTTTATAAGATGTTTGCTCCTCAAATAATCCCACTACTGAAATCTACATTTGATTAATCTTTTCAGATACAATTGTTACCACCAACTATGCGCCAAGCAGTCATCTCCCTGATCCTTAAAAAAGATTAAGATAATTTAGATTGTAGTTCATACCATCCAATTTCATTATTAAACGTTGATACCAAAATTCTCGCATAAATTTTAGCCCTTTATTTAGAAAAAATTCTCCCATCCATCATCTTACCCGGTCAAACAGGGTTCATTAAGAATAGACATTCTTTAATATTAGATGTTTGTTAAATATAATTTATACTCCATGTACAGATGAAACACTTAAAGCTGTGGTTTCACTTGACGCTGAAAAAGTATTTGATCCGGTGAGATGGGATTTTCTTTTTTATACATTACAAAAGTTTGGGACAAATTTTATTTCATGAATTAAAGTACTATACTCCTTCCCCCCAGCAGCAGTTTTAACTAATAATAATTTATCTCAATATTTTCAACTTCAGTGTGGAACACGACAAGGATGTTCACTGTCACTACTTCTCGTTGCTCTGGTTATTGGGCCTCTTGCCATTACTCCGAGACAGCGCATTGACATATCAGGTATACGTTGTGGGGATACAGAACATAAAGTGTCACTCTATGCCGATGATATGCTTCTGTTTATTTCGAATCCTTTAGAAAGTCTCGCAAATGTCCTAGATTTGCTTGAAGAGTTTGGAGCTAGTCTGGTGGCTTTCTGCACACTGTTAGCTCGTAGGAGGATTTTACTGAACTGGAAGGAACTACAACTGCCTGCATATGGGTTCTGGGTCAGGGATGCCATGTACTACACTCAACTGGAGAAAATCAGGTACACAACCAAAGGCTCAGTTAAAAATTTTTATACAATCTGGAATCCATTTTTGTCTTATTTCCAAACCATGGAAGCAAGGGAAATTGTATAAATGTAATTTAATTAATTTATCTATCATTTTTTATTTAATTATTTTAATTTTTTTATTTTTCTGTCCGGTCTATTTTCTTTTGTCATTATTTATCGATTTATATCATCAGTGTTTAATTTTGTACCTGTCTGGTTCATGTTTATAAGTTGAGGGTGGGGCTCTAGGGAGAATGATGATTTGTTGTGTAACATTGTTACAGAATATTTTTGCGAATAAATAAACCTTGAATTTAAAAAAAAAACACATTTGTACTGATTCACTCTTTAACAGCAACAAAAATAGAACATTTTGGTTTGAAAATTTTGGGGGTCAAATATTTCCTCTTTTTTTAAACTTTAAGGCATCATTCTGTGCCTTGGACATAGCTCCTGTCTTGATGCAGACCCTCGTTTTATCATCTAAGCAAAACAAATACCATCTTATCAACATAACATGCACAATTTAATCTTTCACCATGTACACCAGTCCCATTGTCCCTCGTATCTACAGTCTCCTCCTGAATACAGTCCTCTTTACAATCATTTACAAACATAAAGCTATCAACATCTTTTACCATTCTCTTTTTGGAGACTGGAGAAGAGGTTTTATGCCTGTGTTTCTCTTCAAAAATACTCAATTTAATGATGGCAGCTCTGTCTTCACTGAGGGGTACAGATCATGAAAAACAAAACAAAATCAAATAAAAGCAGTTGATGGACAGATGAAAACTCCTTGGTTGTACAAAGGACGTCAGCTCCAAAATCCACTAAGGGCAGTTTGGACAGTAGAGTTCAAAGGTCAAAGTTCACCCTACGACTCTTTCAGTAGTAATTTCTTTTTGTATTCATCATGGTTCCTTCGTAGTAGTTCACCTAACGTATTCAGTATATACATCATTGTTTACCATGGCTGGCACTGATTACATGTTAGAGTGGCGATATGGTGAGAGTGCTGTAGACACCAGTGGGAGGTCATTGTTGGGGCAGTTCGGGGGGCTGTTTTTTGGGTTTCAGAGTGTCTATGAGAGACTGCACCCCGCGCTTCACACTGGTGGTCACACGGCGCGTCACTGAGTCTGAGGAGGGAGAGGAGGAGGAGCCTGCGCGCTGAGATGGGGGTCGCGCCACAAGACACTTCTGATACCGAAGCTGGAAGAATAGAAGTTTATTCACATTGAGGTTTAAACACCATGTATAATTAAATATCAGGTTTAACAGTGTAACATTAAAGGTGCATTGTGTAACTTCTTTGGTGGAGGGTTTGTCCATTGCTTTGCCTGGAATGTATCACAATATGGTCTTAAACCATTCTATCTTCATGGAGATCAAATCAGACCAAGGTAAAGGTCAGATCTATGGAGAGGTGACCCCACTCACTGTCAGAATGGCTGTTTTTCTAGGTATTTGAGCAGTAAAACCACCTGTAACTGAATAAATGTAAAGTAGAGCTGTTTAAAGTCATACTGTGGAACATTCCAGGTGGAGTAATGACATATCCATAGAAACAAACAGGTGACGGGCCCCCAAACCAAAGTTACATAGTGCACCTTCCAGTATAATAATGTACACTAAGTAACTTTTTAATAAAGGGCCCAGGCTGTCCCCTCCTTGTCTTCATGGAGATGCTATTGCTTTGTCTGAAATGTTCCACATTATGACATTAAACATATCTACAATTTGCATTTATTAACAAACAGACCAGGCAAAGCAATAACATCCAATGGAGACAAGTAAAACAAGAAATTAGGGTAGTCTTCTCCATAATTTCTAAATATTATGTGCATGTGGAAATATACTAAACACACACAACCCCTTGATCCATCATTCACCAATGATGTCAAAATGTCAAATTGTTTAATTCACAAGCCAGCCACATATCATACTGCGATGACTTGGTAAAAGACATGGTAAAAGAAATCAAATGACTAAAGGGCTGAACAATATATCTTAAACATATTGATATTGCAAAATGTAATACAAAGTTCTCCATACTTGTTTCAGTAGATGCAAAAATGGCAGATTTTATTCACAATATTCTCATTGCCTACTCCTTTTACCCATTTTGGTCTTGGCATAAGGTTTCGTTTTAATATTGCTTGTCAAAAAAGTTTGCAACACTACATATAGTTAGCAAATATCTCTCATATCATGTGGCCCTGTGTTACATAGTGCACCTATTATAAAACACAGTATAACATCATAGTATTTGAATAGCTTACAGTAAAAATCATCATTATTTTTTGGTTTGTTAGAGGTATAATCTAATGCTTGCTTTCACTTTTCACTATAAATAGACATCTTGCTGTTCACCTCCCTGTCCCCTATAGCCTATATACTGGAGTTATTTGTGCATATACATTCATAAACATGATACTCACCACACATGCTGCCTGCACAGCCTCAGACACACAGCCTGCATTGGGGTCACACCAGAACACGTGGCATTGGAAATGCTGGTTTCCAGTGTCCATGATGAAGGCGAACGTGTGAATGTCCCGTCCCACGCCCATGAAGGACAGGAAACGCACTCGGCACTCCACCAGGGCCTCCTCCTCCTCCTCCTGACAAACAGCAAACAGGGACAGTCAGCAGTATCTATGTAATACAGAAATCATGAAATATGTAATTAAGTGACTGACCTAGAACAGTACAAATGTAATTTCTTCAGACACTATCAATACTTGTTCTACTAGGCCTACAAGTTTTAGTATTGATTATCATTAACATAATAATTTAAGTAACTACATTTTATCTTGTTGGTGTTGACCTGAAAGAAATAAAAAATATAAATATTAGCATTTTCACATAATAGTTAATTATTAGTCTAATTATTTTATATTATTTAGCTTTTTTTTTTTTTTTTTATAACTGTGACTATGATTTCCACAGATAATGTTTAATGTGTACAGTACACATTGATATATTTGCAGTATTTTTGTGGCCATTTACAGCTATTGCATATCCCCCTTTCTTGAAAGTGCTACACAGTTTGATCAGCAAACACATTTCTCTAATAAAAATTGGTCAAATGTTTCTTGCCTTTTCCTTTATGACTGATACTGTGGTGTCAGCGATGCTCAGAATGACAGGAGTCCAGTCTTCTTTGCCTGTGGAGCTTACAAGACTTTCTATGGCTCCATTTATTATGTCCATCCCTGCAGATACACATAACATCTGATAATTAGGTAAATGTACATCTAATATATTAAAGTGAGCTTATAAAAGTTATTATATATTTTACCAATGGGACGAGTTACTGATGTCACACCCAAATACAGCACGTGAAACTTCTGCACCAGCTCCGTCTTTGGCATCGGAAACTCTAAAGAGGAACAGAAATTAATAAATAATAAATACAATGTTTATAACAAGGCTAAAGATAAACAGAAAAATCCATATATGATAATTGGCCTGATCCAGAATGCGAAACAAACACTCATGAATATTTTAAAACTCCATATCGCTGCTGACATGATTAAACTATGCAAAAGTTACGCACAAACGAGATATGTGAAAGAACAGGTTCAAATAAAAGACTGTCAATAGAGAAGCTGGCAATCATAACAAATATATACTCACAATAATATGCTAATAATGTATTTCAATGAGATGACATCAAATTACAGCTTTATTGGACTGGCTGTTTATTTAAACTGAAATGTTTGAAAAGGCAAATTAGGAACTCTCATGACTTAATGTTGCAGGTTTTGTTTACAAGAATGACCCAATCACAGCATGGTCAAATAGATGTTTTACTGTGTATCAACTTATCATTTAATATATGAAAGATGGAACAATAGTTTTTGGGGGTCAATAATTATAGCAAGTGCTTTTTATATATACTAGACAGAAACCTTTTGCTACTTTTATGTACTACAATAAGATTTGAAGTATAGAGAGTTGAATATACTGTATAACTTCTGTCACTATTTTGATGCAAAATGTCTCATTTACCTATTTACCTATTTATTGCATGTTTTTATTTATTTTAACAATATTGTGCATTTAGAAGTTTTTTGGGGATAATCCTGATTTAGAATTATTGTGTAAGAGGCATTAAATATTTTCAATATTATTGTTTATCTTTTATATTTTCTTCACCAAAATAACATCAAAACATTGTTATTGTGACTAGAATACTCATAGCTAAAATATTATTTCTTATAATGGAAACATTTGAGCAATAGGAGTCAATATCCTTTACCACACAGACTTAAAGACATGGCCTTTTCTAACAAAGCAACCCTCTGACACAATCTCGTTTTTAATGATTTACGATTCTTCTTGTTGTATTCTCTATGGACTAATCAATGTACACCAGCCAAAGGTAATTGCTTTTTACTGGATTCATATATTCATAATTTCAATGTCAGAAAACCAACAGAATAAGATCTATGGCACACTCATTGCATGCATCTTAATGAGAAGTTAAAGAAAGTAAAAAACACTGAAAAGAGCAGAAACTGTCTTGATTTGATATTAGTTTGGTGATAATCGTCTCAAATATGCCCCATAACTTTGAGAAAATAAGAATGGGACATTTAAGACTCCCAGCTATAAAATGTGCTAAATAGAAAAAAGCACACAAAATTACAGCAAATCTTCTATTTGTGAATGAGTGTAAGTGATTATGAAATCCGCCAACAGAGGGTCACCACCAAGTCAACATAGTCTTGTTTTTGGAAAAAGATGTAATTATATTTTTTGGATGTAGTAGTAGTAGGAGGAGGTTAGAATTTCAATTTATGTTTTCAAATCAGCATTCAGTTCACAGTGCACATTTTAAACACGACCAGGAGCATTTGAGAAAAGACTGAAATATGAACTGATAAACTTCCAGAATCTCATGCATTTCAAAACATGTTTGTGGAAGTCTAAACTACAGATTGCACACATTTCATCCATAAAATACAGAATAATTTGTTGTTTGCACATGACCAAAATAATTTCTTGATAACTGCACCATTTCAGAGTGTTTTGATTTGATAGCAATATATTGTCCAGCCCTGCCAAACATCCACTATCATACAGTTATTAAGACAGTGAACACATGTTTAAAAGGCTCACATTACTATTAAAAACATGCCTGGAGTTGTGTTTTGTTTCAGTAACACATATTTAATACACAAACTCTGTATATTTAGGCTGCATATTTAGGTTTTAAACTCTATACCCTTTCACTAGAATTATTTGGATAATCTCAGACCTGGAATTGCCAATCTCTACTGAACAAAAGGTAAAAGGAGCTGTTAACTTGAAAACTACCGCTTCATGACATCACAAGGTGGAACAGAGCATTTTAACCTCTGGAGATGTAAATAGACTAATAATAAAGAATTACTCAAACAAAACAAATCAAGTCTGGGTATGCCTTTGATGAGGTAGCAACATTCTAACATGGCTAAAAGCTCACCAAAGTGAATTGTGCATAATATAGGACCTTTAACTAATCTTATTTAGTCAGTTCAGCCCTATTCTATTACCAGTGTTTTTAAGGGCTTTTTAATGTGCAAATGAGCGACCATGAGCAAGGAATACCCTCACAGATCAATGAGGCCTATGTCTAAACTGTGCTGTACCAGACATGTTACTCCAATACATGCTTTGATGCTGAGGTTGGGACGCCAAGCATTTTAAGTACTTGCAGCCCTTACCTCAAAGAAACACTAATTGGATTTTAATGAGTTTGCCCATGATGTAAGTGAATAGCTGATTTAAGGTTGGTCTTTTATATTCTGATGCATGGTGTTCTCTTGTACTCAGCAAATTCTACATGCTTTAGTTGAACTCGCAGTAAAGAGGAAAAGTCCCTATGTATTTTCTCCAACTATAATTATCTGGGACCGAGAGGAACAAAATCACACTACAAGTTTTGCTCTGCAGTCAGCATCATCTGTATGTAGTATCACTAGCTTTTCTATTAACAACATGCGCCCAGTGGTTGTTATTTTTTTTTGTTGAGCAGATAAGATGTTTTTAAGAAAAACCTATGTGCTTTTAAACAGGGATAAACAATGTAATGTGAGACAGGAGGCCACAGGGGGCAGAGATAGCATGAAGCTGACAAATCCAATTCCCACACAAGGGAAAAATGGGAAAACAAAAAACAGATCCACAGAAGGAAAGAAAGTGTGTTTTTTGAGTTTTACCTTGTAGTGGTACATCTGAGCCGGTCTGGGAGGAGCTGCCTGCTGCAGCCTTGGCACTTTTTCTTTCAGCCATAATCTAGATAAACATTAAAAAAAGACAGAAGTTGGAAAAAATGCTGCTACACAAATGATTTGGAAAAATATAACAGTTTTTAAAATGTGCGGATAAAGTTTTGAAGATACTGACTAAATAAGCGGTGCACAACGTAAGAATTCAAAAACTAGTTTATGTGCATAAAACCAGGGTCTGTATTTCTGGTGACTAGAAAAACAAATTAAACTGTTGAAGGCCAAAAGCATCTAAAATTAACTTTTTCTGTTTTCCCCATTTTTAAAAACAGTAAAAAAAATCAGGAGCACCGCCTTTAATTCAGCATTTCAGCATTGGTAACAGTTAGCCTGATTCAGATTAGAAACCATTTGACCTCACAGTGTTAGAATTTGTTCACTCGATAGTAGGTAGGTACTTTTTATCAGTTAACCAATCGCTGCTATTTGGTAGTCACGTGTGTATTGCGCCGCTAACGGGGCTAACTGGTATATTAAGCTTTTCCCAAACCCCGTAGGAAGAAGGGCAATAACATCTTTCTCCTTGATGAAATTCACCAAACATTCTCTTTGTTCTGGCTTTAAATCCTGTATCTCGGAAATTGTTGACAACACTAAATGTATGGCTCTTCACTATTGGTGGGTGCCTGAACTCGCACTTCCGGGGTTTTTGGGAACTGTTTATTGTATTTTGATTCCTGACCTAGTTGCTGAAGAGAAATGAAATTGAGCGGAGGTACTAGGTGGCGCCAGCCTGGCTAGTTGACAGTAGCTCAGTTGGTAGTTTTTGTCCACTGACGCACAGGTGGAAGGTGCGATTCCAGCTCCCACAGATGAATGTTGTTGTGGTGTCCTTGGGCAAGACACTTAACCCACCTCACCCCCGATGTCTGCATCCACTGGTGTATGAAAGTGTATGTGAATAGATGAGTGGTTCCTTAGTAACAGTATTTGTATTATATTTAATTTTATAAGCTTTGGAGTTTTCTAAGTTCTAGCCTGACATTTTGTACATTATGGCTGTGTTGTACTGTGCACCACATCAAAGTTAAGACAGAACTGATCGGAACAGAACATATTTCATAATTTTACCTCATGCATGGACTTATTTTTGAGTTTTTTTTTGTTTTTTTAATGACATTTTTTTGCAAGGAAACCTCACTTTTTCATTGACATGGAAAAAAAAATTGCCCACCCCTGATATAAATGGGCATAGCTAATCCACTAGCCACTGTGTTCCAAATAGGAAGTGAGCATGGGTGTGTTTTTGGCTCCAACAACATCAGCTCCATTTCACTTTGTATTGAGAAAACATCAGCCCTCTCTCTGTAAATGCTGCTGTCAGGATCTTTATTTTGATCTTAAAATGTTTGTATTAACCCACTCTACATAATCCTGGAGTTTTAGTTTTGCTATTTTGTCTATAAATCATTTCCTATTCCCAATATGGAACTAGCTCCCAACTCTCCCCAATAACTCCCGGCCTTGGTGAGCTTCATGGGTGATGTCACATTCACTCAGTCCACTTCTTTATGCAGTCTATGATTAGGACTAAACAGGATCAAACAGGCCAAAACCGCGACAACACAGAGACCAAAACTGCTCTCCGTCTATAGCCCTCTTGTGTAACTGTCCGAGCCTTGGTGCTGATATATGTCTTTGGCTGTCTGTCCTGGTCTCTGCGCAGCGAGCATGGCCCCTGCTCCAGACACTTGATTAATTGTGGGTGTCATTAATCAGAGACAGTGGTGAGTCTGCAGCCCGGCTCACAGGGGAACATGGGAGAGGAGCTAACAGGACGCTAACAGAGAGCTAACAGAGAGCTAGCAGAGCCGGAGGAACACAGCTGCAAAACTGAGGTCACTGGGTTTATCCGCTGCAGAGGAGACAAATCACGCTCAAACTGCAGTCACTTTGTACAGTTATGACTAGCGGTCAAACGAGTGCAGCCAATCTCAGTACTATTATTTTTGTAGATGATATTACACAAGGATAAGTCAGTAAAGCTAAAGAGCCCATATTAAGCTATCTTCTGATCAATATACAATATTGTTTCCTCATCACAAACATACCTGGAGTTGTGTTTTGTTTCATTCACTGCACACATAAACTCTCAGCCCTAGAACTGCCAATCTCTACTCAACTAAAAGGAGCTGTTAACTTGAAAAAACATGTGTGAATGAAAAAAAAGACCACACAACTCCAGGTATGTTTTTGATGAGGTAACAACATTATAACATGGCTTAAACATTTCAATTTAGGACCTTTAATTTTGTCGCTCACCATCAGTTTACTCAAAGTTGTATTTTGATTGACTCGTGCATGTTTGAATAATCCTGTACTGTCCAACATTCAAGGCTTGAGTGCTCAAAAATCCTGCTTTCACTGACCAATTTACCTCACCCACTTTGCTGTATTGTGTTGTGATTATTTTAAAAATGAAGACCCTGAGTGATACATGTCGGGTTATTAAAAAAAATCACACAGACACTTTTCCAGAATAAAAACACATAAATGACAATCTGCTGCTAGCTACGACAAAATGCCACCATAGCTTTAATATTAATACTACTATACTACTATTGCCATAATCTCCAACAACCTTTTGAAGATCAATACTTACATTTTTTATCTCACAGGCATATATTAGAATAGTTAATGAAGATTGTACTCAAATTAAAACATTCAGTTATTCACTTTCCCTACAGATGGTAAGTAACAGATAGACGTGTCACAATAACAAATTTTGAACCACAATATATCGCTACAGAGAAAGATAAACAATACTGAAACTACTTTAAACCACTGCCAAAATAACAGTAATGCAAAAATAATCCCAGTAAAAATAATAATGTATTTTTAAAAAATCCTGAACTGCAACAAATAAATGGAAGAATTAACCAATAACTACCCATAGAAGTTAGTTATTCTACTCTCTAGAGCTCAAATCTTACCTCATTACATATATAAAATGCAAAAATCTCCTCACTTTTGCAAAGAAATTATACACACACACAAGTATTGAGCCCCAAAAGATATTGTTCCCACTACTGACCGATAAATCGATACAGTAATTATCGCGACAGGCCTTGTAACAGATATATAGTTTGCATGAGTAAATAGGTCAGTGCGCCTCAAAGGGAGCAGAGTCTTGTGCAGGTAGATCTTCCAAGGTCAAAGCAGGCCTAAAGGACGGAGGGTTTGTCTTAACTGTATCTGTGGAACACTTAATAAAACTGTGCCTTTGTCCCTCAGAGAGTTCATAAACTTATGTTCTTACAACCCAAATCTTATCTCCACACTGCAAATGGCTTTATATCTGCGCCCCTAATCCCTCTCCTCTCCACAGATATGATCAAAACATTATATATAAATGGAGAAACATGTTATACCTGGTTTTAGTATTAGAATAAATAACTCAATACTGCAGGAGAATAAGGTAATAACAGTTGCCTGGAGACATTGACAATGCACACACTCTTTGTCACAGTTATATAGTGCTGGGGTTTTTAAGATAAGGAATAAATGTGTGAAACAGGAAAACTGGAAATCCATCAAAACAAGGAGTGTTTTTGATTTTGAACTGGTTTTGAATACTGGAAACCCACAAATCTTGAAACTTTTAACTTTTGGTAGTGATTGATGTGACTGTAGCTCAGTTAGTAGAGTGGAGTGTTTGTCCACTGATCTCAAGGTTGGCTGGCAATGCGATTCCAGCTCCAAAAGATGAATGCTGATGTTGTGCTATTGGGCAAGAAACTTAACCTACTTCGCTCCAGTGTGTGTGAATGGGTGAGTGGTTCCTTGATATAAAATACTTTGAGCGCCTTGAAGGTGGTCAAGCGCTATATAAACATGTGACCATTTATCATTGGGTCTACAAACTTGAGATTAATGTTGTAACTTATCGTCCTGTCAGCTGATAATAGTCAAGACTGTATATTTGATAATATTAACTCTTTTTGAAGCAATGGTGAAAGAAACACGGCTAAGACTGCTTCAAATCTCCCTGTAGCTCCTCAGTCTCAGATAGGGCCCATAACAAAAGAAGTCTCTTTTTAAACTAATTTAAACTAGTCCCTTACCAGAGCAGCACCAGAACGGAGCAAGCCACGCTGATGTGCGGCAAAATGTATTCACATTGCCCTGTTGATAAAAGTCCACTTTCTCTTGCTAAACATTTATTTGTATTGACAGAGAAAACCTTTGTGTCAGTTCTTGTTTCATGTGCATAGATTCAGTAATTACAAAGAAATTAACCATAAATGATACCAAGACATTTGCAGTTTCACAGTTCAACAGACAATTCTACCACTGAATCCTGCCCTGTCCTCTCATCTCAATTGTAAACCAGTGCCTCTTAAAGGCCCCATATTTCTGCATTTTCTGATCTGTATAGTTTCCTCATTAAAAACATTGGATTTATGTTTTCATTTTCATTTACACATGTTTTAACACACACAACCTTCAAATTCAGGCTGAGTTCTTCTCTTAAACTGAAAACATTCTGTTCCACCTTGTGATGTCATGTGGTCATACAGGAAGTGCTCCACTGTGTTTATAAACTTCATACACCTTCACTAGAATCATCTGGATCATTTCAGCAATGGAATTGCCAACCTCTATTGAACTAAAGGTAAAATGACATCACAAGGTGGAACAGAGCATTTTGAGATTTGGAGATGTAGACAACCTAATTATAAAAGATTGCTCAAACATGTGTGAATGAAACAAAACACAACTCCAGGTATGTTTTTGATAACATAACAGCATTATGACATGGCTTAAAGCTCACATGAGTAAATTTTATGCAATAAATAAATCATATTGCAGTGCTTATATGAAGTCTTAGATACCCGTACAGGTCTCACCTTGGTGCAGATTTCGTGGAGACTGGTGGCAATAGCGGCAGCCGGTGTATCACATCTGAACACGTGGCACTTTAACACGCGCGTGTTCTTGTCCCGCGCCACATAGGCAAAGTCCCTGAAACCATAACAAAATGTCAATAACACAACATATGTCATTTAGAAAAAGCATTGAGAAAATTAGGTGAATTGGGAATCATAAGGACTGGTCATTACTTAGCTTAATGTATTTGTAATTGAGTGTTTGCATAGTAAAATTGTTATTTGTTCCACCTCACAGCTTTTACCTCATCTCATATATAGCGGTTATGGCTATGTATAAGCGTTTTCATTTAATTTTATTACACCTAAAACTGCCACCAAGAGCATTCACAGCAAATTGAGTTTACATCCAGTGTCATGTGCAGTAGTTTGGACATGATTGTAGAATAAAATATTGCTTGTAAATGGTTCTTTCCTATATTTCATTTTCTCTTGACCAAATAATTGTATGGAAGAGGTTTTAAACTTCTAGGAGGTTTAACTGGGTGAAACTACATTAGTCAGTGGATGGTCTACTCATTTATGGGCTCAAGTGTGAAAAAAAAAAAGAAATATTTGGCAAGTATTTTTGCTGAAAATATTATAATAATTCAACACTTATGCATACACATACAGCAGTACTTAAATTGTTATGATTGTCTAATTTTAGGAAACTATTACTACTAGGGATGCACCAATCTAGCCTTTTCTGTTCCAATACCAATATTGATACTTTTGATTTAAGTAGCTGCCGATACCCGATATCAACTGATATCAGTGCAGAGACTACTACTCTACTACACAACTACTATTACTGCTGCTTCTACTTTATTTAATTCAGTACATGCAATTAAGCTACTTTTATTGCTACTTTTTACTTAACTTATAACCACTCATTAGGCCTACTGTTACTACAAGGACTAATACAAATACAGAAATACTTGAATAAGGATGTTTAGGTTACGGTAAGGTGTTCATACTTGAAAAAAGCATCCAAATTGTGACTAAAGTGGGACTAAATCTGGACTGGATCAGTCCTTAACCAGGACTAGAATAGTATATAATTAAGCTGGCGTTCACTTCATCAGCTTGATCCTGGCTTGGTCCTAATTTGAGTCCAATATGTAAATAGACTTTCTCTCCATCTCTCTAACAGCCAAGACCCAGAAGAGCCTGGGTTTCAATACTTCAAATACGACCAGTAATTTCATGCACAAACCGAAATATTACATTAATCACAAGCAGCTCTTAGTGTTTATGATCCCTTTGTGCGGCTGTCTCCTCTGCCTAATTGCCCGCTCACTTTTGGGGTCGATAACGCTCCCGAGTGTGGCCAGGCGGGAGAGATGTATGCGGTTGGATATTAGCGAAGCGTACACAGCATCTCTCTTTCTCTGCTCAGGGACATTTAAACTCTGCATTCCCCGACCAGCGTGAGTGGCCTTGGCAAACGCTACACAAATGACTCTTTTATGGCTCTCACTGTGGGATCAAAATGGCATAAAACAGCAAGCAACTCTCAACAGGAAATAGCCAGTGGTCAAAGTATGATTTAACACCTGTGATGTGGGCATTCATGGTTACAGTGGTACAGTAAAGAGTAAGAATCACTCAAGGCAAAACATGGAGGTGTAGAGGGACAGATGAGACGGATGGTGTTTTGAAATGGAGAGTACAGGAAGCAGTTACCTTTCTCTGGGTCCAGTGAAAGCGATGGAGGCAAAGGGTGAGAAGGAAAAAAGGAAAAAACAGTTCAGGTTAAGTATGGAGTAAAATGTATCATGAAAATGTTTGCCAAAATCCATAGCAATCCATAAGTTTCAGAGTAAAAATAAGACTATTGACATAGTGATTAAAAGGCCTACATTATATCCTATAATGTTGTTTCCTCATTGCAAACATACCTGGAGTTGTGTTTTGTTTCATTCACACATGTTTAATACACAAACTCTCTATAGATTTCTCTAAACTGAAAAAACTGCACCTTCTGATATCATGTGGTAATACAGGAAGTACTCAGCTGTGTTTTAAACTCCATATACCTTCACTAGAATCATTTGGATGATTTCAGTCCTGGAATTGCCTATCTCTATTGCACTAATGGTAAAATGTAGCAGAGCATTTTGAGCTTTAAAGATGAATAATGAAGGGTTACTCAACCATGTGTGAAACAAGCAACAAAGCAGAACTCCTGGTATGTTTTTAATGAAGTACATTGTAACATAACTTAAAGCTCACAAGAGTAAATTTTGTGTAATGTAAGACCTTTCACAAAGAAGTTCAACAAGACAAATAGAACTCACAACCAAATCCATGCACGCAATTCCCAAAATGACACAGCACATCCTCACTGTTTTAAGCATATCTACATTCAAATGAACACAGACTTTTCCCCTATCCAGTACAATCCTGCACCTCTAAATTTCTGAGCTTGCCTTTAATCTGCCTCTCTCACCTCCTCTGACGCGCGACAGGAGGAGCCCCCGGAGAGAACAAAGTCTGATCCGTATCAACTACATCTCTCCCATTTAGCTCGACTACAAAAGCAGCACCACTATCAAAAGGACTAATTTACACAATGACAATCTTTGATTTCCTGATGATCTGTTTAGCATAAGGTTTGGTGTGTTTGTGCAAATGAGTCGCATCTGATGTGTTTTTTCAATGACTCTTCACTGCACAAACTTCACTTGCCGCCCACACAGCTGCTCTGACTTAGATTTCTGGAGTCTTGACTGTAACTGTCAAATACTGATGAGGATTGACAGGCTTCACCTCAATGTTCAAGTTTTTAAGTCAAAATACCCAAATCCTGATGCGACACTCTATATTTACTTGGTGAGAATTGAATCCCTGTGTTAAATCTATTATCAGTGTTGCAGCTTTTTGTCTGTATTCTTTTTGCAAGCATGAGGAATGATTACCAAGTTGTGTTCAAGTCCAGGCATGTGTGTTGCAGATCAGGTTAAAGGTGGATTGTGTAACTTTTCTGGTGGAGGGTCTGCCACCTGCTTTTCTCTATGAAGATGTTATTGCTTTGTCTGGTATGTTTCACAGCATCTGTACTTGAATAAATGTAAGGTAGATCTGTTTAATGTCATACTGTGGAACATTCCAAGCAGTGCAATGACATATCTATAGAAACAAGAAGGTGGTGGACCCCCAACCAAAAAGTTACATAGTGCACCTTTTTTTAAAGTAATATATGTGGGATTGGTTGATTGTCAATTAATAAATATGTCAAAATTTGAGTAATATTTTTATATTGTATTATAATGTATCACTATAAGACGCGCTAACCTTAAAAGTACAACTTTATTAGAAGAGACTGGATTTAACCAATTCCTATCACCAAGTCATTCCATTTTCATCTTAAGCAGAAATGGAAGAACTAGGATTTCAAGTGCTCTTAATGTAAAAATTTTATATTTTCTCAATTATGTGGCATTACATTCAAATGTGTCCAAACTGTCCGAACTAAAAAAGTGTAAATTTCACTACATAAGCACCACCACTGAGAAGCTGCCACAGTGAATTTTCATAAATTTGACATGGTCGCTCAAAATGTTTGACTTTCTTAAGAGCCAAAACTTGTAGCATTTGCAGTTTGCCAACCGAAAGTGTAACTCCTCCAAAGTTTGGTGTGAAATTTGTGCAAAATACCAATCCAACGAATACAGCTTTACACAGAAAAAAGTGTAGAGAAACTATAATAAGCACTGGACTGAGATCATGGTCAGAAATAACTGAATTAAAACAGGAAGTGAAGAGCCATGACGGACAAGAGTCTGAGTGAGAGGAGGACTTTTTGGCAGTGAATAAGATGGACAGAGTTGGCAAAAGATGTGGACAGCTGTACAGTGCCAAAAATCAAAAGGTAACAGGGATTTTAAAGTAAAGGTTACAAAAAGATAAAAGCGGCAGAGAAAGATGTACTTTTTCGTCATTGTGTGTGATCTTATGTTTGGGGAATTGAAAATGGAGGAATGAATAACCCACCACCAGCACTGTGTCTTTGATCCCAATGGCTACAAGGCGCGCTCCGCTCCACAGATTAAACCAGGTCACAACTGAAGACGATTTATTGAGAACGAAAGTCACACGAAACTAACGGCAACAGCACCTCTGACATCACCTGCATCCCGCTCTGTAGTGGAGTAGTAACATTAGCATTTACTATGTAGAGGGGAATTCACCATGATAACAAATCAAAGGGTTTTATTCATTTCAGATTAAGCCAAAGGGTTTAGGTTTTGCTTTTGCCATGGAGACAGTATTGCTTTGCCAAAAATCTTCCACACAATGGCTTTAAAATCTATCCAAGTAACAGATCTGTCAGATCTGTGGAGAATTTTCAAGAAAAGACAAACTGTACATTGGGACTAAACCAAGATCAAACTGTGACCAAACCAAGCCTAACTGAAGAAATCAAATGCAAGGTAGTGGCATACTGTGGAATATTTCAAAGCAAAAACACTGTCTCCATGGAGATGGAGTAAAAAGTAAAATGATATTTTAATAACAGGCATCAAACCCACTACTAATTTTGAAATTGAAAGGAAAAGTATTGAAGGCAAAATTTAACTACAAACATGTATGTATGAGTAATTTTACTTCTGGAACTACAATTACTGTTACAACCACAGATAGTAAAATAGAAAAATACTATAAAATACACCAAAATACATAATCAGTTACCAGAGCTTAATTTCCTCTTGGTTAAAGGACACAAAGTACACAATTATCCAGCCAATGTGAAAACAACACAAAAGATAGCAGCTCAAACTGGCACCAAACTGTTGTGTGTAATGCATCATAACATCACTTCTAGCCTGCAATTATTGAGCAATTAACTTTGATTACAACTAATAATTTTGGCCCTTGAAAATCACTGCTATAATTTGTCCTCTAAATACTGTATCTGTTTATTGTCCAAATCAAGCAGAACCTCTTTTATATCGCAATAATGTTGATTAAAAATGCTGAATTTTGTTGTTCCAATATTAAATTGTATTATTAGATTATATATATTTTTTATATGTGGATCTGAATTAGAATTGTTGTTACTATAATTACACTTCTGGAATCTGGGATTAT